AAAATTAGTCAGGCGTGGTGATGTGCGCCTGTAGTTTCAGCTACTTGGGAGGCTGGGGTGGGAGGATCACTTGAGCCCAGGAGTTTGAGGCTGCAGTGAGCTGTGATTGCACCACTGCACTCCAGACTGGGCAAAAGAGCGAGACCCCATCTTAGGAAAAAAAAGTGGGGGAGAGCTGGGTACTGTGGCTCATGCCTGTAATCCCAGCACTTTGGGAAGCTGGTGGATCACTTGAGGTCAGAAGATCAAGACCAACCTGGCCAACGTCGTGAAACCCCATCTCTACTAAAAATAAGAATTAGCCAAGTGTGGTGGTTTTCCCCTCTAATTCCAGCTACTCAGGAGGCTGAGGTGGGAGAATCGCTTGAACCCGGGAGGTGGAGGTTGCAGTGAGCAGAGATATAGGCCACTGCATTCCAGCCTGGGTGACAGAGCAAGACTCCATTTTAAAAAATAGGATATTAAAATTAAAAATAAAAAGAATAAGAGATTAAAAGACCAGAAAGCAAAGCCCAGTACGTCCACATACATTTCCTCCACATCCGGCCTTTGGCCACCAGAATGACCTAAAACCCAAACTGGGTCATGTCGCTTTGCCCCACCTCCTCCGGGGCCCCTCGCCACTCCTAATCGGCCTTCACAGCCCTGCACAATCTGGCCCCTGCAGGCTCCATGTCTCTCCCACCCCCACCTACCCCAGGCTGATCAGGCCATGGTGTGCTCCAGCTCTGCTGTCATTCATCCCTCCATCCCTTCAGGAAATGTGGGGCCTCTCTCTGGGCCACTGCCACAGTGAGGATCCAGTGGGACTAGGACAGAGAAAGTTCCTTTTCTCAAAGAATTGTCATTCTAGGGGGGAACAGTAAACAGGGCAACAAATCCAGCTAAATATAGATTGTAGGTAAGAACAATAATAAATAGGGACTGGGCGCGGTGGCTCACACCTGTAATCCCAGCACTTTGGGAGGCTGAGGCAGGATGATTGCTGGAGCCCAGGAGCTCAAAACCAGCTTGGGCAACAGAGTGAGACCCTGTCGCTATAAAAAATAAACAGATTGGCCCGACATGGTGGCACGTGCCTATAGTCCCAGTTACTCAGGAGGCTGAGGTGGGAGGATCACTTGAGCCCAGCAGTTCCAGACACCTGGGCAACAGAGTAAGACCCTGTCTCTACAAAAGACAAACAGATTAGCTAGGCATCGTGGCACATGCCTGTAGATTTAGCTAGTCAGAAGGTCGAGGTGGGAGGATCACTTGAGCCCAGGTCAAGGCTGCAGTGAGTGATGATCACGCCATTGCACTCCAGCCTGGGCAACGCAAAGAGACCAACTCAAACAAGAAAAAAAAGAGGGAGAGACAAATAAATAAACATGGTGTTAGGGTAGGGAGCAATGGGAGGCAGATCTAGGGGTTAGTGGCCCTTCCAGGGAAAGCCAGAAGGCATTCACATCTCAGATTGGGGGTTCACATCTCAGGCCAAATGCCCCTCGCCCTCAAAGCCCTTCCTGGCGTCTCAGGCGAGGTGTTAGCCGAGTGCTGATATCCTAACAACCCACCAGTTCCTTTTCTGACAGCGATCATAATGACGTTGAAATAAACGTGAGATTGGCTGCTTGCTGTCAGTTTCCTTCCTGCCGTAGACGCTCCTGTACCCCTCGCAGTGGCTCTAGGCACTCAGTCAATATTTGTTAAAGGCAGAAAACGTGCTGATGACATGATTTCTAACCAGCTTCCGAATTCCATACATCTAATCAGAGCAGCACCGTGGGGACAAATTTTACCCAGATGAGAAATCCTTATACTCTAGATATATCTAGGAAGTGTTTTTTCGGTACACGCTGTGCCTCCCAATATTGAAAATGCAAAGTGTTAGCTTTGGCAGTGCACAGACTAAAACTGGAACGATCCAGAGAGATGAGCAGGGCCCTAATTTTAAAAACGCTAACGACAATGTTAGAAAAACTAAAAATGAGATGGAACACCGCAGTGCCTAAGAGGAAACATTTATATTTATTTATTTATTTATTTATTGAGACGGAGTTTCGCTCCTGTTACCCAGGCTGGAGTGCAATGGCGCGATCTCGGCTCACCGCAACCTCCGCCTCCTGGGTTCAGGCAATTCTCCTGCCTCAGCCTCCCGAGTAGCTGGGATTACAGGCACGCGCCACCATGCCCAGCTAATTTTTGTATTTTTAGTAGAGACAGGGTTTCACCATGTTGACCAGGATGGTCTCAATCTCTTGACCTCGTGATCCACCCGCCTCAGCCTCCCAAAGTGCTGGGATTACAGGCGTGAGCCACCGCACCTGGCTGGGGAAACAATTATTAAACAGATAGCCTCACCATTTAAAAACAAAAAATAGCCAGGTGCGGTCATTCACACTTGATGCTGTTTGCCTTGTTTACGTTGAATTTTTAAAATGCATTATCAGGCTAAGTCCTGATCTTGGTACAGCAGCAGCTTTTCAGCCTCACGCCCTGCAACATCACTCAGGAAGTGAGCTAACGGCGGAAATCAAGGTGTCACTCAAACCGAGACGCATTGCCTGACCTCTCTGACAATTTGATTGGAAGTCTCCGGATCTGGGGAAAGAGGATTTTGGTTTCAATTTTATTTCCTTTCTACATTCTTCCTCTTTGTGTATAACTACCTTGTCCTCTTGTGATGACCATCTGGGAGCTTGGCCTCAGTGTGTTATTTAATTTCCTGGGATTTCGTGGATTTGCTGGGAGGAATTCTCTGTGGCTAGTCTCCTCCCTTTCACAAGAGCCTGTGGTTTCCCCATCACTCCGTGATTCCTCAGCATTGGGGCTGTTTGGTCCCAGGGGAGTGGATGGAGTTTTTTAAGCTCTGAGCTCTGTTTGGGCCCAAGTCCAATGGGTCACAAAAGGCTCAGTCACAAAAAAGAAAGATGTCCTGACAGAGCAGCTCTGCCCTACAAGTCACCTCCGTCTCTCGTTCTCCTGGCATTCCAACCACCATCAGCTAGAGAGTCCTGGCAGTGCTAAAAGGCCTCTTGTAGAGTGGGGTTTTTGGAGAACCATGAAAGGAACCGTGTTCTGCTCTACTAAAGATTAGTTTAGTTTCTAAACTGTGTCATGTGATGGGACGGATGTGAGTGATCGCGGTTACAAGCAAACCATGAACATTACCACACAGGAACGATTCTATGGAAAAACCGCAGATATTTCAAGAAAAGTTTACATTTCAAGAGGAGTTTGTATTTTCCACTCCGGAAAAATAAAAGACCTGTGAACAATGATTGGAAAAACAGACAAGACAGCTCCATCAGTTTAAAGGCGGAATACAGGCCGATTTCAAGCATTTTTTCCAAATTATATGGAAAGAAAAACACTGCGTAAGTTCTGAATCTGTAGACTTTAATACTATCATTAAAACAAACTGCTTGGCCAAGGGGGACGGCTCATGCCTGTGACCTCAGCACTTAGGGAGGCTGAGGCAAGATCACTTGAGGTCAGGAGTTTGAGACCAGCCAGATCAACAAGGTGAAACCCCATCTCTACTAAAAACACAAATATTAGCCAGGTGTAGGGGTGCATGCCTGTAGTCCCAGCTACTCGGGAGGCTGAGGCAGAATCACTTAAACCCTCGAGGTGGACATTGCAGTGAGCTGAGATCATGCCACGGTACTCCAGTCTGGGTGACAGAGTGAGACTCCCTCTCAAAAACAAAACAAAACAAAAAAATGCCCAAAACACTTGAGAATCTGAAGCACCTGTTTTCTTTTCTTCTTATTTTTTTAGAAACAGGATCTCACTCTGTCCCTCCAGAGAATGGAATGCAGTGACTTGATAATGTTTCACTGTAGCTTCTACTTCATGGGCTCGACTGATTCTCTTGCCTCAGCCTCCCAAGTAGCTGGGACTATGGGCACGTACCACTACAACCAGAGAATTAAAAAAAAATTTTTTTTTAGAGATGAGGTCTCACTATGTTGCTCAGGCTGGTCTCACACTCCTGGGCTGAAGGGATCCCCCCGACCTCAGTCTCCCAAAGTTCTGGGATCATTACTGATTACTATGACATTTTGGGCTATGGGAGAAAAGACTAGATAGAATGCTCAACACACTTGCAAGATTCAAGTATTTATTTTTCTTTTCTTTTTTTGAGACAGTGTCTTGCTCTGCAGACCAGGCTGGAGTGCAGTGGTGTGATCATAGCTCACTGCAGCCGCTACCTCTTGGGCTCAAGCAATCCTCCGCCTCCACCTCTGCCTCCTGAGTAACTGGAACTGCAGGTTCGTGCCACCAGGCCCGGTTAATTTTTTTATTTGTATTTTTGTAGAGTCGGGGGGCGGGGTCTCACTATGTTGCCCAGGCTGGTCAGGAACTCCTGGGTTCAATCGCTCCTCCGGTCTCTGTCCCCCTAAGTGCTGGGATTACAGGGGTGAGCCACTGCACCTGGCCTTGAGTCCCTATCCTCCTGGAACGAACATTGCATTTCCTCTGACACAGGGACGGTTTCAGTTTCCTCTTCGGCAAAATGTGGTGGGGATGGGAATTCCCATTTGCAGCCGAGAATTTTCCCTGATAATAAACCTCGAGTGCGGAACGCCGATGGGGTGCAGGAACCGATCCAAAGGGAGCAGCTCACGGTGACATTCGGAGCACTCTGGAAAAGTAGGCACGGGGAGCCCAGACGTCATCCCCAGAGCCCGCTGCCCAGCAGAGCCAGGAGGCTGGCGTTGTCCGTGTCCCTGCATCCAAGCCTGCGTTTGGCCGCAACGCCCCCAGGCCCTGCTCCTCCCACGCCGCCGTGGAGCGTATCTGCCACACAAACCACACACGAACGTCCGTTTCGAGAGCGACCTGCTTTCTCGGAAGGCGTCGCGGCCAGATCGCGCCTTCCGGTCGCTCCCAGGCCGGACGCCAGGTCTCCAGTAGCAACCGCGGCCTCTAGCGATGGCCGCCTGGGCACCGCCAGAACCCTCTGCGCAGGCGCGGAGAGGCGCAGGCACGCGGCTTCCGCTCGCGCCCGGCGGAAGACAGGGGGCGGGGCTTGTGTCATGACGTCACGGGACGGGCGTTCGGGCGGCGGGAAGAAGAGGCGCGAGAATGGAGGTGGAGGCTGTAGGTGATGGCGACGGGGAGCGGGAGGCCCAGGACCCTGCCCCTGCCTCCAGCAAGGCCCCTGGGAGCTGCGGGCACTATGAGCTACCGTGGTGAGGCCCCAGGCCGTAAGGAATGGGCGCGTTTGGATGTGAGGGTGGGCGAGTGGCGGGCCGTGCTCCGAAGAAACGCGGGGGCCGGTGGGCTTGTTCTGGAGGATTCCGAGGGAGGAAGAGGCCCCAGGTGGTCGGTCTAAACTCTGCGAGCCGAGTCCCGCTCACATCAATGCTTATGACAATTAGGGCTACCCCGGGTGGCCACCTACTCTAACCTAGTCGGTTTTTCAAAAATGTTTGTGCCTAGCAGTGTATGATGACCTAGTGTTTTTAAAAACCTCAGGCTGTTAAAAAAATTATTGATTACATGTTGAAAATAATATTTTGACTGTTAGGTTCAATAACATTTACATTTGAAATTTAAAAAATTGAGACCCGGATCTTGCTGTGTTGCCCAGGCTGGTGTCCAACTCATAGCTCGAGTGATCCTCCTGCCTCAGTCTCCCAAGTAGGTGGGACTACAGGCATGCACTACCAAGCCCGGCTAATTTTCTTTTCTTTTTTTTTTTTTTTGAAATGGAGTCACACTGTCGACCAGGCTGGAATGCAATTGAGCCGCTCCCGGGTTCAAGCGATTCTCCTGCCTCAGACTCCATAGTAGTTGGGATTACAGGCGTGTGCCACCACACCCTGCTAATTTTTGTATTTTTAGTAAAGATGGGGTTTCACCATGTTGGCCAGGCTGGTCTCGGAACTCCTGACAACTGATCCACCCGCCTTGGCCTCCCAAAGTGATTACAGGCGTGAGCCACCGTACCCGGCCTAGGCCTGGGGTTTTTGTCTAGCCAGCCATGCTGTGTACTTGGCACATGTCTGCAGAAACTGGCAGGTAAGGGATGAGAAAGAGGCTTGGTTGCACCCATGTTGTCATACCAAATGATGTCAGCGCTGTGTGGTGGGCCTCTTGTGACACGCAGATGGGGTTGTGGCACAGTGTCACATTGATCCAGATGGCCTATGCTGGCCCTGCTCCAGCAGCAGCAGGTGTTTTTCTGTGTGGCAGGTTTGAAGCCTTTGCTGTGCAATTCTCACACCCTTAACATTTTTTTTTTTTTTTTTTTTGAGATGGAGTCTCACTCTGTTGCCCAGGCTGAAGTGCAGTGGCACAATCTCAGCTAACTGCAACCTCCACCTCCCAGGTTCAAGCGATGTTCCTGCCTTATCTCCCAAGTAGCTGGGATTACAGGCACCTGCTATCATGCCCAGCTAATTTTTGTATTTTTCATAGAGACGGGGTTTTGCCATGTTGGTCAGTCTGATCTGGAACTCCTGACCTCATAATTGCCCACCTCAGCCTCCCACAGTGCTGGGATTACAGGCATGAGCCACTGTGCCAACCCCCCTTAACTTTTCAAGTGGCACTTGGGCATCTTATTACATGGTATTTATTTGTTTATTTTACTGAAACAGAGTCTTGCTCTGTTACCTAGACTGGAGTGCAGTGGTGTGATCTCAGCTCACTGCAACCTCTGCCTCCTGGGTTTGAGCCATTCTTGTGCTTTTTTGGGGGATAGTGGAAGATAACCATGTCATCATTTTTGTGCCTTTTCTTAATAGGGTTGAAAAATACAGGCCAGTAAAGCTGAATGAAATTGTCGGGAATGAAGACACCGTGAGCAGGCTAGAGGTCAGTGGCTTCTTATTTGTATTTATTTATTTCTTTTTGAGACGGAGTCTCGCTCTGTTGCCAGGCTGGAGTGCAGTGGCGCGATCAGGGCTCACTGCAATTTCTGCCACCTGGGTTCAAGTGATTCTCCTGCCTCAGCCTCCTGAGTAGCTGGGACTACAGGCACCCGCCACCACGCCCAGCTAATTTTTGTAGTTTTAGTAGAAAGGGGGTTTCACCAGGTTAGTCAGGCTGGTCTCTATCTCTTAATCTGGTGATCTGCCCGCCTCGGCCTCCCAAAGTACTGGGATTACAGGCATTAGCCATAGCGCCAGGCCTCACTATTTTTATTTTAATTTTATTTTTTTGAGACGGAATCTTGCTCTGTCGCCAAGACTGGAGTGCAGTGGCATGATCTCGGCTCACTGCAGCCTCCGCCTCCCAGCTGAGCAGTTTTCTGCCTCAGCTTCCCGAGTAGCTGGAATTACAGTTGCCCGCCACCACGTCCTACTAATATGTGTGTATTTTCAATAGAGACAGGATTTCACCATCTTGGCCAGGCTGGTCTTTAACTTCTCACCTTTTGATCCACCCGCTTCGGCCTCCCAAAGTGCTGTGATTATAGGCATGAGCCATCAGGCCCAGCCAAGCGGCTTTTTAAATGATTGTCTAAGGCTGGGTGCATTGGCTCACACCTGTAATCCCGACACTTTGGGAGGCTAAGGCAGGCAGATCACTTGAGGCCAGGTGTTTGAGATCAGCCTGGGCAACACGGTGAAACCAGTCTCTGTGAATTTAAAAATCAGCTGGGTGTGGTGGCATGTGCCTGTAGAGTCTGAGCTTCAAACCAGGCATGGTGGCAAGTGCCTATAATCCCAGCTACTCAAGAGACCAAGTCTAGAGGATGTCTTGAGCCCAGGGGTTTGACACCGCAATGAGCTGTGATCACGCCACTGCACTCTAGCCTAGATGACAGAGCAAGACCCTTACTCTGAGAAACAGAGTTTGGGCTTCATAGTGAACACAGGGAAGGGTCAAGGATTTCAGTTAAGTGAAAATGTTTTTTTCTTTTTGAGACAGTTTCACTCTTGTTGCCCAGTCTGGAGCGCAGTGGCGCAATCCTGGCTCACTGCAACCTCAGCCTCCTGGGTTCAAGCGATTCTCCCAGCTCAGCCTCCCGAGTAGCTGGGATTACAGGCATGCAAAACCACGCCCAGCAAATTTTGTATCTTAGGTAGAGATGGGGTTTCTCCACGTTGGTCAGGGTGGTCCTGAAGTCCTGACCTCAGGTGATCCACCTGCCTTGGCCTCCCAAAGTGCTGGGATTACAGGTGTGAGCCACCGTGCCGGGAAAATGTTTTAATGGGTGTGTACTTTAGAAAGGTGGTTGTCGGTACAGGGTGGGAAGTGGATTTGAATTGGGCGGGATTGTAAACACGGGGGTGAGTTAATGGTCTGTTATGGCAGTCAGACAGAGGTGATGGGCTTCACAAAGTGATAGTGGGGATGGAGAGAAGTAAAGGGCCCTGGAGACAAGGAGGAGGATGAGGCCCTGGTAATTGAGGTATTCGGGGTGAGGAGTAGGCCAAACCAAGATGATGGCGAACTCAGCTTCGTGGCTTGGACAGTCCACAATGGGAAACATGGGTGGGGCCTCAGGTTTGTACAGAAGAATGAAGTGTTGAGTTTTGAAGATGCTGGGGTGAGGACCTGCAGTCCTAGCTGCTCGGGAGACCAAGGCAGGAGGATCTATTGAGCCCAGGGATCTGAAGCTGCAGTGAGCCTTGATCATGCCACTGCACTCCAACCTAGGTCACAGAGCGAGACTCCATCTCTAAAAGAAGACAGTCCATGAGCCACCCAGTCCACATGGAGAAATCTGTGGCCACATTTACTATACAGGCTGTGTGTCTGGGGAGAGTCAGCTCCTCAAGCTTTCAAATTAACCAGGTTTTGTGTTTTTTTTTTTTTTCAAGACAGGGTGTCACTCTTGCCCAGGCTGGCGTGCAGTGGCGCAATCACAGCTCACTGCAGCCTCCACTTCTCAGGCTCAAGCGATCCTCCCACCTCAGCCTCCTGAGTAGCTGGGACTACAGGTGCACACCAGTACGCCTAGCTAATTTTGTTTATTTTTTGGGGGAGACAGGGGCTCACTATGTTGCCAAGGCTGGCCTCTAACTCCTGGCCTCAAGTGATCCTCCCACCGTGGCCTCCCAAAGTACTAGGATGATAGGCATGAGCCACTATGCTCAGCCAAGTTTTAACCTGTGTGTTTATTCTTTTTTCTGTCTGTTTTATGTAGTCACCTCGAAGCAAATTTTAACCTGTTTTAATGATCGTTTTCACTTTAGGTCTTTGCAAGGGAAGGGAATGTGCCCAACATCATCATTGCGGTGAGTACACAGCCCTGGGCCTGTTGAGTGTAGCAGTGTCTCTTCCCACTGCCTGCTGAGGTGCCTTCTTGTGCACAGCGCTCCCTCTGCAGACAGCCCCGTACCATTACCCGGGCAAAGGGAAGTGTTTCACTCAAGTTAGTTGGGAGGTCTGGAGTTGGTTACTGTGTTTTTGTTTTGTTTTGTTTTATTTTTTTGATGGAATCTTGCTCTGTCGCCCAGGCTGGAGTGGTGCAATGGCATGATCTTGGCTCACTGCAGCCTCCACCTCCCAGGTTCAAGCGATTCTCCTGCCTCAGCCTGCTGAGTAGCTGAGATTACAGGCATGCGCCACCACGCCAGGCTAATTTTTTGTATTTTTAGTAGAGACGGGTTTCTTCATGTTGGTCAGCTGGTCTTGAACTCCAGACCTCAGGTGATCTGCCTGCCTCCGCCTCCCAAAGTGCTGGGATTACAGGTGTGAGCCACCACGCCTGGACTTTTTTTTTTTTTTTGAGACAGCTTGGCTCTGTCACCCAGGCTGGAGTGCAGTGGTGTGATCTCAGCTCACTGCAACCTCCGCCTCCCGGGTTAAGTGATTCTCCCACCTCAGCCTCCCGAGTAGCTGGGACTACAGGTGCATGCCACCACACCCAGCTAATTGTTGTATTTTTTAGTAGAGACAGGGTTTTGCCACATTTTCTAGGCTGGTCTCAAAGTCATGACCTCAGGTGATCTGCCTGCCTCGGCCTCCCAGAGTGCTGGGATTTCAGGCGTGAGCCACTGTCCCTGGCCAGCTCTATTGATCCGTGTGTACTGTGGGTAGAACGCGAGGGTTAGAGGGGACGGAGATGCAGAGTGGTGAGCAGAACGCAGGAGCCACCTGCAGTCCTTCTGGTGGTGAGAAGCCCTTACTGGAAATCTCGTTCCCAGGGCCCGCCGGGAACTGGCAAGACCACAAGCATTCTGTGCTTGGCACGAGCTCTGCTGGGCCCAGCACTCAAGGATGCTGTGTTGGAACTCAATGCTTCAAATGACAGGTAGGTCTGAGTCAGGCCTGCAGGGTGGCGGGTGTTCTGCATTGAGAATTATTACCCAAACAGCCTTTCTGAGTATCCGACTGTATTCGAAGTTGGCCTTGCCAACTATGTGATTTTCTCTACTCCTTCCTAGTGAAGGAGCATAAGAATTGTTCACTTGTTGACTTGCTGCTGTATTATTATTATTATTATTATTATTATTTTTTTTTTTGAGACGGAGTTTCGCTCTTGTTACCCAGGCTGGAGTGCAATGGCGCGATCTCGGCTCACCGCAACCTCCGCCTCCTGGGTTTAGGCAATTCTCCTGCCTCAGCCTCCTGAGTAGCTGGGATTACAGGCACGCACCACCATGCCCAGCTAAGTTTTTGTATTTTTAGTAGAAACGGGGTTTCACCATGTTGACCAGGATGGTCTCGATCTCTCGACCTTGTGATCCAACCGTCTCGGCCTCCCAAAGTGCTGGGATTACAGGCTTGAGCCACCGTGCCCGGCCTATTATTATTTTTTTAATGGATATTTTTTAGAACTGTTTTTCCTGGCCGGGTATGGTGGCTCACGCCTATAATCCCAGCACTTTGGGAGGCTGAGATGGGTGAATCACCTGACGTTGGGAGTTTGAGACCAGGTGGGCCAACATGGTGAAACCCTGTCTCTACTAAAAAATACCAGAATTAGCTGGGCATGGTGTCGGGCACCTGTAATCCCAGCTACTCGGGAGGCTGAGGCAAGAGAATCATTTGAACCCAGGAGAAGGAGGTTGCAGTGAGCTGAGATTGCACCATTACACTCCAGCCTGGGCAACAAGAGCAAAACTCTGTTTCAAAAACAAAAAAGTTTTTCTCTTTTTTCAAGTTTAAAAAATTTCAAAGAGATGGGGTCTCATTGTGTTCCCCAGGCTGATCTCAAACTTAGCCTCCAGCAGTCCTCCTGCCCTGGCCTCCCCAGTTGCTAGGACTGTACACCCACGCCACTGTGACAGCTAATTTTAATGATGGGTTTTTGTTTTTTTGTTTTTTTTTTGTAGAGATGGGATTTCACTATGTTGCCCAGGCTGGCGTTGAACTCCGGGGCTCAAGCAATCCTCCTGCTTCATCTTCCCAAAGTGCTTAGATTACAGGCGTGAGCCACAGCACTGGGATATTCAGCCAGTAAATACAATACAAAATTCCAAAATGTAAAAAAAGCCCAAATCTGAAACATTTCTGGTCTCAAGCATTAGGGATAAGGGATACTCAGCCTGTGTGTGTAGAATGTATGGAAGGCTGGCCAGGCATGGCGGTTCACATCTGTAACCCCAGCACTTTGGGACGCTGAGGCAGCTGGATCTCTTGAGTCCAGGAGTTTGAGACCATCCTGGGTGACATAATGAAACCCCATCTCTGTATAAAAATAAAGTGTACTGAGGGATGTGTATAAGTTAATATGCAAATACTATGCCATTTCAGATAAGGGACTTGAGCGTCTGTGGATTTTGGTGTCTGAGGAAGGGCCTCGCACCAGGCCCCAAGCACACCAAGGGACAGCTTCACATTGTTCACTCCTTGATTCTTCAGTTTGGGAAAATTTGTGGAGGATATTGTCTTCTGAAGATTCATAGTCTGAGATTTTGCTTATGTGATCAGTTTCACCATCAGCAGTCTAGAATATTGCTGTTGGTGTCTCTGCACTTCTCTTTTTGGAGACAGCGTCTTGCTCTGTCGCCAGGCTGGAGTGCAGTAGTGTGATCTTGGCTCACTACAACCTCTGCCTCCTGGCTCAAATGATTCTCCTGCCTCAGCCTCCCAAGTAGCTGGGATTACAGGCATTAGCCACCACGTCTGGCTAATTTTTGTATTTTTAGTAGAGATGGGGTTTCACTGCATTGGCCAGGCTGGTCTTAAACTACCGGCCTCAAGTGGTCTGCCTGCCGTGGCCTCCCAAAGTGCTGGGACTACAGATGTGAGCCACCATGCTCGGCCTACCCTACAGTTATTTCCTGGTTCACCTAATAATTAGGAAGCGTCCTCCTCTCAGTTTTTTCCTCTGTGCTGTTGTGGGTGGAAAATGAAAAATTCTGAATTCTCAGCTGTGGTCAGTGAAGGTTTACAAGATAACAAAGGTGGTATATCTGAACCTCTGTTACCTTTTGAAAGATAATATGATATCTCAAGCAATGCAGTTAAAAAACTGAAAGATGAGGCACTCTGACAGTCTTTGTTGTTGTTTTTAGGCAGGGTCTCTGTGTTGCCCAGGCTAGAGTGCAGTTTTGCCATCATGGCTCACTGAAGCCTCAGCCTCCCTGAGGCTCCAGCGATCTTCCCGCCTTGGCCCTCTGGATAGGTGGGACCACAGGTGCACATCACCATGCCCAGCTAATCTTTGTACTTTTTGTAGAGATGGGCTTTTGCCATGTTGCTCAGTCTGGTCTTGAACTCCTGAACTCAAGTTAAACCCCCCAACTCGGCCTCCCAAATTCCTGGGATTATAGGTGTGAGCCACTGTGCCTGGCCGACAGTCGTTTCTTTTCTTCCCACTGTTTTATCATTCTAGGGAATTCCACCATTCCTTCATTTTCTTATTTTAACTTTTTTAGCGTGGTTGAGAGTAATTGATAAATTATGATGAACTCATTGCTGGGATGATGAAATTGCCAGCTGTTTCGAAATACAGGAAGAGTGAGGTCACTGAGACTCAGAACATATCTTAGATTACAAAAAGGTCAAGTGGCCACTGCACTCCAGCCTGGATGACACAGCAATACTCTGTCTAAACAAAACAAAGTATATATTTTCTTTTTTTTTTTTTTTTTTGAGACGGAGTTTCGCTCTTGTTACCCAGGCTGGAGTGCAATGGTGCGATCTCGGCTCACCGCAACCTCCGCCTCCCAGGTTCAGGCAATTCTCCTGCCTCAGCCTCCTGAGTAGCTGGGATTACAGGTGCGCACCACCATGCCCAGCTAATTTTTGTTTTTTTAGTAGAGACGGGGTTTCACCTTGTTGACCAGGATGGTCTCGATCTCTTGACCTCGTGACCCACCCGCCTCGGCCTCCCAAAGTGCTGGGATTACAAGTGTGAGCCACCACGCCCGGCCTATGTCTGCTTTCTTTTCTTTTCTTTCCTTCTTTCCTTCTTTCTTTCTTTTCTTTCTTTTCTTTCTTTTCTTTTCTTTCCTTTCCTTTCCTTTCCTTTCCTTTCTTTCTTTCTTTCTTTCTTTCCTTCTTTCTTTCTTTCTTTCTTTCTTTCTTTTCTTTTCTTTTCTTTTCTTTTCTTCTTTTTCTTTCTTCCTTCTTTTTTTGCGATGGAGTTTTGCTGTTGTTACCCAGACTGGAGTGCAATAGCATGATCTCGGCTCACCGCAACCTCCACCTTCTGGGTTCAGGCAATTCTCCTGCCTCAGCCTCCTGAGTAGCTGGGATTACAGGCATGCGCCACCATGCCCAGCTAATTTTTGTATTTTTAGTAGAGACGGGGTTTCACCATGTTGACCAGGATGGTCTCGATCTCTTGACCTCGTGATCCACCCGCCTCGGCCTCCCAAAGTGCTGGGATTATAGGCGTGAGCCACCGTGCCTGGCCTATGTTTTCTTTCTTTTTTTTTCCTGAGATGGAGTCTGGCTTTGTTACCCAAGCTGGAGTGCAGTGGTGTGATCTTGGCTTACTGCAGCCTCCACCTCCCAGGTTCAAGCAACTGTCCTGCCTCAGCCTCCCGAGTAGCTGGGATTACAGGTTTGCGCCACCACACCCAGCTGATTTTTGTGTTTTTAGTAGAGACAGGATGTCATCATGTTGGTCAGGCAGGTCTCAAACTCCTGACGTTGTGATCCTCCCGCCTCGGCCTCCCAAAGTGCTGGGAGCCACCTCACTGAGCCTTTTTTGTTCTTTGAAAGGCTTCCAACCAAGAAAGAACAATAGTCATAAAAATTTCAGTGCTCATAAATACTTACAATTGCCCCAAAAAGAAACTCAAAAACGGAAATTGGGTTTTGTAGTCCCTGATACGCTGATTGTTTAAAAGTCCTCCCGAAGGTGACTGAATTTGTCTCAGAAGGTGCCAGTAAAAACCTGTTGTTCTCTGCTCAGATGTGCTTTATAAGTAAAAGAATAAAGAAAAACAGCGTGTTGTTTTTTCAGGGGCATTGACGTTGTGAGGAATAAAGTTAAAATGTTTGCTCAACACAAAGTCACCCTTCCCAAAGGCCGACATAAGATCATCATTCTGGATGAAGCCGACAGGTAGAGTGCTTTACCGAGTATATTTTGACCTCGATCTCTAAATCTCTCTTTGGGCTTTATTCAGTCGGGATAAAAAGCACTTTTGTAGATTTGCTTTTATCTTCAACAAGCAGTTTCATATGGGCCTGTGCCTTAAATCATGTCTTGATTAAGTAGCTTCTAAACATTTGTCTAAGAGAGTCAGTTAATGTGCTGGTTTTTCAGCATCTCTTAAATTAATAGTTTAAAAAAAATTTTTTTTTTGAGATGGAGTCTTACTCTGTCACCCAGGCTGGATTACAGTGGCACTACCTCTGCCCACTGCAACCTCTGCCTTCCAGATTCAAGCAGTTCTCCTGCCTCAGCCTCCCAGCTAATTTTTGTATTTTTAGTAGAGATGGGATTTTGCCATGTTGGCCAGGCTGCTCTCAAACTCCTGACCTCAGGTGATCCGCCTGCCTTAGCCTCCCAAACTGCTGGGATTACAGGTGTGAGCCACTGTGCCTAGCCTATAAAATTTTTTGTTAACATAATTAACCATAACATAAAATTTACCATTTTAACAATTTAAAAAAAATTTTTTTTTAATTCCATTTTAGGTTTTGGGGTACATGTGAAGAACATGCAGTATTGTTACATAGGTACACACATGGCAGTGTGATTTGCTGCCTTCCTCCCTATCACCTGTATCTGGCATTTCTCCCATGCCATCTCTCCCCAATTCCCCACCCCTCACTGTCCCTCCCCTATTTCACCCTGACAGATCCTGGTGTGTAGTGCTCACCTCCCTGTGTCCATGTGTTCTCATTGTTCATCACCCGCCTATGAGTGAGAACATGCGGTGTTTGATTTTCTGTTCTTGTGTCAGTTTGCTGAGAATGATGGTTTCCAGGTTCATCCATGTCCCTACAAAGGACACAAACTCATTTTTTATGGCTGCATAGTATTCCATGGTGTATATGTGTCACATTTTCCCTGTCCAGTCTATCATTGATGGGCATTTGGGTTGGTTCCAGGTCTTTGCTATTGTAAACAGTGCTGCAATGAACATTCGTGTGCATGTGTCCTTATAGTAGAATGATTTATAATCCTTTGGTTATATACCCAGTAATGGGATTGCTGGGTCAAATGGAATTTCTATTTCTAGGTCCTTGAGGAATTGCCACACTGACTTCCACAATGGTTGAACTAATTTACACTCCCACCAACAGTGTAAAAGTGTTCCTATTTTTCCACATCCTCTCCAGCATCTGTTGTCTCCAGATTTTTTAATGATCACCATTCTAACTGGTGTGAGATGGTATCTCAATGTAGTTTTGATTTGCATTTCTCTAATGACCAGTGATGATGAGCATTTTTTCATGTTTGTTGGCCTCATGTATGTCTTCTTTTGTAAAGTGTCTGTTCATATCCTTTGCCCACTTTTGAATGGGCTTTTTTCTTGTAAATCTGTTTTAGTTCTTTGTAAATTCTGGATATCAGCCCTTGGTCAGATGGGTAGATTGCAAAAATTTTTTCCCATTCTGTTGGTTGCCAATTCACTCTAGTGACTGTTTCTTTTGCTGTGCAGAAACTCTGGAGTTTGATTAGGTCCCATTTGTCTATTTTGGCTTTTGTTGCCAATGCTTTTGGTGTTTGGGTCATGAAGTCCTTGCCTACTCCAATGTCCTGAATGGTTTTGCCTAGATTTTCTTTTAGGGTTTTTATGGTGTTAGGTCTTATATTTAAGTCTTTAATCCATCTGGAGTTAATTTTAGTGTAAGGTGTCAGGAAGGGGTCCAGTTTCTGCTTTTCTGCACATGGCTAGCCAGTGTTCCCAACACCATTTATTAAACAGGGAATCCTTTCCCCATTGCTTGTTATTGTCAGATTTGTCAAAGATCAGATGGTTGTAGACGTGTGATGTTGCCTCCAAGGTCTCTGTTCTGTTCCATTGGTCTATATCTCTGTTTTGGTATCAGTACCATGCTGTTTTGATTACTATGGCCTTGTAGTATAATTTGAAGTGCAGTAGTGTGATGCCTCCAGCTTTGTTCTTTTTGCTTAGAATTGACTTGGCTATGCGGGCTCTCTTTTGGTTCCATATGAAGTTTAAGGTGGTTTTTTCCAGTTCTGTGAAGAAAGTCATTGGTAGCTTGATGGGTATAGCATTGAATCCATAGATTACTTTGGGCAGTATGGCCATTTTCACAATGTTGATTCTTCCTAACCATGAGCATGGAATGATTCTCCATCTGTTTGTGTCCTCTCTTACTTCTTTGAGCAGTGGTTTGTAGTTCTCCTTGAAGAGGTCCTTTACATTCTTTGTTAGTTGTATTCCCAGGTATTTTATTCTCTTTGTAGCAGTTGTGAATGGCAGTTCATTCTTGATTTGGCTCTCTTTAAGTCTGTTATTGGTGTATAGGAGTGCCTGTGATTTTTGCACATTGATTTTTGTATCCTGAGACTTTGCTGAAGTTGCTTATGAGTTTCAGGAGATTTTGGGCTGAGACAGTGGGGTCTTCTAAATATACAATCATGTCGTCTGCAAATAGAGACAATTTGGCTTCCTCCTTTCCTAGTTGAATCCCCTGTATTTCTTTTTCTTGCCCAATTGCTCTGGCTAAAACTTCCAGTACTATATTGAATAGGAGTGGTGAGAGAGGGCATCCTCGTCTAGTGCTAGATTTCAAAGGGAATGCTTCCAGTTTTTGCCCATTCAGTATGATATTGGCTGTTGGTTTGTCGTAAATAGCTTTCATTATTTTGAGATACCTAGTTCCGTCAATACCTAGTTTATTGAGGGCTGTTAGCATAAAGGGCTGTTGAATTTTGTCAAAGGCCTTCTCTGCATCAATTGAGATAATCATGTGGTTTTTGTCTTTGGTTCTGTTTATGTGGTGAATTATGTTTACATACTTGTGTATGTTGAACCAGCCTTGCATCCCTGGGATCAAGCCTACTTGATCATGGTGGATAAGCTTTTTGATATGCTGTTGCAGTTGATTTGCCAGTATTTTATTGAAGATTTTTGCATCTATGTTCATCATGGATATTGGCCTGAAGTTTTATTTTCTTGCTGAGTCTCTGCCGGGTTTTGGTATCAGGATGATGTTGGTCTCATAAAATGATTTGGGAAGGATTCCCTCTTTTTGGATTGTTTGGAATAGTTTCAGGAGTGGTAACAGCTCCTCTTTGTATGTCTGGTAGAATTTGGCTGTGAACCCATCTGGACCTGGGCTTTTTTTTTTGGGTGGTAGGCTATTATCTGCTGCCTCAACTGCAGCCATTGTTGTTTTTTTTGTTTGTTTTTTGTTTTTTTGAGACGGAGTTTCGCTCTTATTACCCAGGCTGGAGTGCAATGGCGCGATCTCGGCTCACCGCAACCTCCGCCTCCTGGGTTCAGGCAATTCTCCTGCCTCAGCCTCCTGAGTAGCTGGGATTACAGGCACGTGCCACCATGCCCAGCTAATTTTTGTGTTTTTAGTAGAGACAGGGTTTCACCATGTTGGCCAGGATGGTCTCGATCTCTTAACCTCGTGATCCACCCGCCTCGGCCTCCCAAAGTGCTGGGATTACAGGCTTGAGCCACCGCGCCCAGCCGTAGATGGTGGTTCTTATGAGTTTGACTTGAAGGTGGTTCGGATGCCGCAGGTACTAAATGCTGTTTGTCCCGTCTTTGAGAGAGCAGCCTGCAGGTTTTAGCATTAGAGGGGTGGCCTGTATATTTCTGATGAGACCCTCGAGTAGGACATTGGACATGTCTTATGTCCTGCGTTTTTGTATGGGAGTGAGTTGTGTCATATGGGCCCTGGGTCCCACTTGCAAATTTGTTTTTCTTCTCAGCATGACTGACGGAGCCCAGCAAGCCTTGAGGAGAACCATGGAAATCTACTCCAAAACCACGCGCTTTGCTCTTGCTTGTAACGCTTCGGATAAGATCATTGGTGAGTGGGAGCTCTGGGTGGCTGGGTCCACCTGGTGCTCACCTGGGCTTTTTTCTTTTCTATAGGTGTGGTCTCCCTCTTCCCTTAGGCTGGAATGCAGTGGTGCCATCACGGCTCACTGCGGCCTCAAACTCCTGTGCTCGAGTGATCTTCCTGCCTCAGCTCCCAGTAGCTGACGCCATAGGCATATGTCACCACACCTAGGTTTTTGGGTTTGTTTTTGTTTTTGAGACAAAGTCTCACTCCGTTGCCCAGGCTGGAGTGCAATGACGTGACCTCGGATCATCACAACCTCCATCTCTGAGGTTCAAGCGATTCTCGTGCTCTGGCCTCCCGAGTAGCTGGGATGGCAGGCGCACACTACCACACCCGGCTGATTCTTGGTTTTTTTTTAGTAGAGATGGGGTTTTACTATGTTGGCCAGGCTGGTCTCAGAGAAACTCCTGATCACAAGTGATCCACCTACCTCAGCCTTCCAAAGTGCTGGAATTACAGGCATGAGTCACTGCACCTGACCTCACCTTGGCTCTCTAGCACTGGAGATTGCATAGCATGCGCCAAGCACTATATAATCAAGTTTTTAAATTTAATTTTTGTAATTGACAAATAAAAATTGTGTATATTATGCACATGTTTTCCAATATGATCAACTTCTATTTATTTATCTTATTATTTTCTTTTTGAGACAGCGTCTTGCTCTGTCGCCAGGCTGGAGTGTAGTGGTGCAATCTCAGCTCACTGCAGCCTCTGCCTCCCGGGTTCAAGGGTTCAAGTGATTCTCCTGCCTCAGCCTCCCAAGTAGCTGGGATAACAGGCGTCTGTCACTATACCCAGCTAATTTTTGTATTTTTAGTAGAGACAGGGTTTCCCCACATTGGCCAGGATGGTCCTGAACTCCTCACCTTGTGATCTGCCCGCCCTTGCCTCCCAAAATGCTGGGAGTACAGGCGTGAGCCACCGCACCTGGCCTCAACTTTTTTTTTTTTTTTTTGAGGCGGAGTTTCGCTCTTGTTACCCAGGCTGGAGTGCAATGGCGCGATCTCAGCTCACCGCAACCTCCACCTCCTGGGTTCAAGCAATTATCCTGCCTCAGCCTCCCGAGTAGCTGGGATTACAGGCACACGCCACCATGCCCAGCTATTTTTTTGTATTTTTAGTAGAGACGGGGTTTCACCATGTTGACCAGGATGGTCTCGATCTCTTGACCTCGTGATCCACCCGCCTCGGCCTCCCAAAGTGCTGGGATTACAGGCGTGAGCCACCGCCCCCGGCCTATACAGCCTCAACTTTTAAATTTAATTTTATGTAATCCTGTGAGAAGGTGTTACTAGCTTCGCTTTAGAGATGAGAGAACTGGAGCTCATCCTGATGTTTAGGATCTAAGGAAAAAAGAGAAAGAAAACGGGCTTGGAGAGGTGGAGTCGTTTACCCGAAGTCACAGAGCCACGTTCAGGAGCAGCCGGGATTGGAGCCCAGGTCTGCCTCCCTCTTTCCCTCCTGGAGGCACACAGGGTGTTGTTGATGTCCCGTGCAGTGTCACAATCACTGCTGCTCTCCAGATACTCTCTCCTGCTCTTCATGTGCTCTGAGCACCTGGAATAGGCAGTATCTGCACGTTGGAATTTGCTGCCTCCAGGAAGCTCCTCTCTGAAATCCTACAGTCAGTCTTCTCTCTGACCTTACTGTATGCCCTTCCAGTCCCTCCCTCCCTCCAGGCTATCTCCTTTCTCAGCTTCGAAACCTCCCACCCCAAGTCCCAGGAGTGCTCTAGGTTGTTAGCTTCCTGCTGGTTTCTCATCCTTCTCTTTCTCTTTTTTTAGACAGAGTCTCACTCTGTTGCCCAGGCTGGAGTGCAGTGGTGCAATTTTGGCTCATTGCAACCTCCACCTCCCAGGTTCAAGTGATTCTCCTGCCTCAGCCTCGCAACTACCTGGGATTATAGACACACACCACCACGCCTGGCTAATTTTTGTGTTTTTGGTAGAGACAGGATTTCACCATGTTGCCCAGACTGGTCTAGAACTCCTGGCCTCAAGTGATCCACCCGCCTTGGCTTCCCAAAGTGCTGGGATTGCAGGCGTGAGCCACCGTGCCCGACCCATCCTCCTGACACAGGCTGACTACACAGCTTTCATTTCTCATCTTTCTTTGCCTCACTTCTGCCCTGCTGATATCCGGCCCAATGAGCTCATCCATCTGACATCCCCCTTCTCCACCCAGGCCTCTGTTGCAGACAGGCACATTAGCTAATGTGACGCCCACAGGGTCATGGCCAACAGCCCCGGCAGGGCTCCCAGTGATGTCGGGAATCATTGGCATTCTTTTCCCTTCCCCAGATGGCACAGATGTGTGCATTGGTTCATTCAGCCATTCACCACACACTGTTCTTAGTAACTGCCAGGCACCATGCTAGTGGAGAACTTGCGGAGTTAAATGAGAAGTATTCTCCACCTTCCAGATGCCAGCAATGAAGGGGAGAAAGGTGCATTCCAAGTTCTTGATTTGGTCGGGCACAGTGGTTCACGCTTCTAATCCCAGCACTTTAGGAGGCCAAGACAGGTGGATCACCGGAGGTCAGGAGTTTGAGGCCAGCCTGGCCAACATGGTAAAACCCTGTTTCTACTAAAAATAAGATGATAGGGTGCGCTTGTAATCCCAGCTCCTCAGGAGACTGAGGCAGGAGAATCACTTGAACCTAGGAGGTGGAGGTTGCAGTGAGCCAAGATCTCATCACTGCATTCCAGCCTGAGCTACAGAGTGAGACTCCGTCTCAGGAAAAAAAAAAAGCTGGCCAGGTATGGTGGCTCACACCTGTAATCCCTGCACTTTGGGAGGCCAAGGCAGGAGGACTGCTTGAGGCCAGGAGTTCAAGACCAGCCTGGGCAACATAGCAAAACCTGTGTTTTAAAAAAAAAAAAAGAAAGAACCTGGGGGTGGCCCATTCAGAATGAATTGTCATGTGCCCAGAAGGGCTGATACCTAGCACAGAATTCCAGAGTCCACCTGGGCCAGGGCTGACTTACCTGAAGGCTTATGGTACATGGATGTGTCTCTACTGGATGATCATTTCCTCATTTCCCCATCTGGAAGCTGTGGCTGGCCAAGGCCATGCCGGGTAATGCCAGTTGAGACCTCTCATTGCTTACTCATTCATACCTTGACATGTCACCCTGTTTTGTCTCTGGGTTTTGTTTTTTTTTTTTGAGACAAAGTCTCACTCCATTGTCCAGGCTGGAGTGCAGTGGTGTGATCTTGGCTCACTGCAGCCTCCGCCTTTTGTCTCACGCGATTTTCCTGCCTTAGCCTTCTGAGTAGCTGGGATTGCAGGCATGAGCCACCATGCGCCACTGCACATGGCTAATTTTTGTATTTTTAATAGAGATAGGTTTTCACCTTGTTGGCCAGGCTGGTCTTGAACTCCCAACCTCAAGTGATCCTCCCACCTCAGCCTCCCAAAGTGCTAGGATTCAGGCATGAGCCAAGGTGCCCAGCCTGCCAAGTCTCTGTTGAGTGCCTGGGACTGTGTGGATTGTGCAGCTGCAGCCTTGTAACTGAAGAGCTAGCAGGGTAATGCAGGCCTCTGCAGGGAAGCCTCACTGCCGTCCCGTCTCTGTTCAGAGCCCATTCAGTCCCGCTGCGCTGTCCTCCGCTACACGAAGCTGACTGATGCCCAGATCCTCACCAGGCTGATGAGTGTTATCGAGAAGGAGAGGGTGCCCCACACTGATGACGGCCTGGAAGCCATCATCTTCACGGCGCAGGGAGACATGAGGCAGGTATGTGGGCTGCTACCAACCAGGCGTGGGTGTCCTGGGCCTGCCATATTCCTTCTATGGGGAAGGGGAGGGAAGTCACAGCTCACAAGGCACAGCCAGATTAAGGGATGGAGACCTGGCACCCTCCTGGGACAGCGGGCTGTCTTGCTGGGACTCCAAAAAGAGACATAGGGGAGGGATGAGGTGGGTGGATCACCTGAGGTCAGGAGTTTGAGACCAGCCTGGCCAACATGGTGAAACCCCATCTCTACTAAAAAATATATATATATAAAAATTAGCCAGGCATGGTGGCGGGCGCCTGTAATCCCAGCTACTTGGGAGGCCAAGGCAGGAGAATCACTTGAACCTAGGAGGTGAAGGTTGCAGTGAGCTGAGATCATGCCACTGCACTCCACTGTGGGTGACAAGAGTGAGAGTCTGTCTCAAAAAGAAAAAGGCACCCTCGGCCTGATGCAGTGGCTCACCTGTAAGACCAGCCTGGGCAACATAGCAATAACTTGTCTCTACCCGCCTCCGCCCCTAAAAATTAATTAACAAATAAATTAAATTTTTGGAAAATACAAATAAAAATCACCATTGACATGTGTTTGCTCCTGAACAGGCGCTGAACAACCTGCAGTCCACCTTCTCAGGATTTGGCTTCATTAACAGTGAGAATGTTTTCAAGGTACAGGTGCTGGTGTGGGCGGCATAGTCAGCAGAAGCTGTGCTTCCCTGAGGGGGTCAGTGGGGCTGAGGGGCTGGGCTGGCAGTGGGGGAAGACACCTTGCTCCTCTGGTGGCTGCCAGGGAGCCCACCGTGCTCCTGTCTGTCCTCTCCCTGTCGCTGCTTTTCTACACAAGCGGGAGAGCTGGGGGTGGGAGGACCTGGACCGTCACTTGTGTGTGGTGGGTAAGGGAAGATCATTGATGCGTCATACCCAGGGCTGGGCAATTTCTGACGCGTCTTATTGGATCCCAGCAACTTCCCTGCGCAGAGGTTCTTCCCATCACATTGTGGGTGATGACGTGGGCCCAGGGGATCCCGTGGTCCCTAAAGGGCAGGCAGGAGCACCGTGCCGTTCCCCAGCAGCCTTCAGACCCCCGACACTGGGTTTTTTTTGCAGTGCTGTGCCCTGCTTCCCACTTCTGCCCCTGGAGGGTAGGTAGCAACCCTCAAAGCCAGGCTGAGGAAAAGGCCTCTCACTCTCCCATGTGTGCAAAGCATTTTTCTCCTGGGAATTCTTTTGAAAACTGCTTCTGCGTCCTGATAACTTGGTGTCTAAACGCCATTTGGGAGACTAATTTCCCTGATTTGGGGGTAGAAACTGGGAACGGTTGTCTAAGCTTTCAGTCTAGAGCTCTTTCTTCCCAGGTTTGTGGACAACAGACAAGCTATTTTTGAAGCATCTGGGTACACCCGGGCAGTGAATGTGTTTCCAAGGCCACTTAGGAACGGGAAGCCTGCTCAGAAACGGGTGACGGTTCAAGGCCTGTTTTTTCTTGTAGGGTCACTGAGGGCTCAGGAAACCATGGCTTCAGCTGGGAAAAGACAAGGGCAGCTGTGGGTGCCCTCTGGAGCCATCAGGAGGCTTTCATTGAGAAGGTTTAGGGGTTGACGTACCACAGGCAGAGCCAAATGCCAGTGGGGAGTGTGGGAGGGAGGACAGAGCCCCAGAACCATCCACCCTCCTGCTGGAGTAGCAGGACCCCTCCTTTAGGATGTCAGGCTGAGGCTGGGGACCCTCTGCAAGGAAGGTCAGTTCCTACTCCAGGGTGTAGGTGAGAATTGGCCCAAAGGACCTCTCAGTTCTAAAGTGAAATCCAAGTGGTTCTGGGGAAATGACCCCTCTGCCAAGTGATCTAAGACGGGTGACTGATGGCTTTAATGCTGCCCCCGTGAGCACCCTTCCCAGGCCCTTGGTTGCTCTCGTTCATCTATCTTGTGTGGGAAATTTCTCATCCTGGTGCCGAAAGCATCTCTCTTTGGTGGTGAGAGGAGCACTCCCCAGACTCATTCTGGTTGCTGGAGAATCTGATGGAAACAGCAGGTAGGTGGGGCGCGGTGGCTCACGCCTGGAATCCCAGCACTTTGGGAGGCCGAGGCGGGTAGATCACGAGGTCAGGAGTTCGAGACCAGCCTGGTCAACATCATGAAACCCCATCTCTACTAAAAATACAGAAATTAGCCGGGCATGGTGGCACGCTACTCAGGAGAATTGCTTGAACCCAGGAGGCTGAGGTTGCAGTGAGCTGAGATTGCACCATTGTACTGTAGCCTGGGTGACAGAGCAAGACTCATCTAAAAAACAAAAGTAAACCGCAGGCCGGGCGCAGTGGCTCAAGCCTGTAATCCCAGCACTTTGGGAGGCCGAGGCGGGTGGATCACGAGGTCAAGAGATCGAGACCATCCTGGTCAATATGGTGAAACCCCGTCTCTACTAAAAATACAAAAATTAGCTGGGCATGGTGGCATGTGCCTGTAATCCCAGCTACTCAAGAGGCTGAGGCAGGAGAATTGCCTGAACCCAGGAGGTGGAGGTTGCAGTGAGCCGAGATTGCGCCATTGCACTCCAGCCTGGGTAACAAGAGCGAAACTCCATCTCAAAAAAAAAAAAAAAAAAAAAAAGAAAACAGCAGGTTGAGAAGCTGGACCCAGGGATTGCCTGGAACCCATCAGGGTCTCCCTGCTCATGCTGTTCCTCCCACCCTCACGGCCCCTGACTGTTTCCTTTCCCTTTGGCCAGGTCTGTGACGAGCCCCACCCACTGCTGGTGAAGGAGATGATCCAGCACTGTGTGAACGCCAACATCGATGAAGCTTACAAGGTTGGCCTCCTTTCCCGCCGCATCCTTGCACATGAACCTCTCACTTCTTGGTCAGAGGAGAGGGGGAGCCCTTCTGGTGCCAGGGACGTTATACACATCACTCCATTAAAAATCACAGTTGGGAGGTTGAGGCAAGTGGATTTCTCGAGCCCTGGAGTTCAATGCTGCTGTGAGTCGTGATTGCATCACTGCACTCCAGCCTGGGTGACAGTGAGACCCTGTCTCAGGGAAAAAATATTAATATCATGCTATGTGTTAATCTGTCAAGTAGCTGGAAAAAATCATGCTAGGAGTTGGGTGCACGTTACTGATATGAAAATTGATTCAAAGAGGTTGAATTCCTTGGCCCAAATCATTGTGTTTGTTTTTTTTTTTAGAGACAGGGTCTTGCTCTGTTGCCCAGGCTGGAATGCAGTGACTCGGTCACAGCTCACTGCAGCCTCAACCTCAGGCGATCCTCCTGCCTCAGCCTTCTCCCAGGTAGCTGGGACTGTAGGCACACGTCACCACACCCAGCCCTAAATCATACTGTTTAAAAGCGGTAGAGCCGGGCGCGGTGGATCACCTGAGGTCAGGAAGTTGAGACCAGTGTAGCTAACATGGTGAAACCCCGTCTCTACTGAAAATACAAAAATTAGCTGGGCTGGGCAAGGTGCCACACACCTGTAGTCCCAGCACTTTGGGAGGCTAAGGCAGGAGAATCGATTAAACCTGGGAGATGTCCAACCTGGGAGACAACGAGATTCCCGTCTCACCTAAAAGAAAAAAAAAGCAGCAGAACTAGAATTCAAAAGGGTATTTTTCTCCTGTACTTATGTCCTCTGCCAGAGAAATTTGTCAGCACAAGTCAGGAGGAAAGACCAGCCTAGCTCCTTCTCCAGTGAAGCCATCTCTCTGGTTAAGCGGGGGTGTCCCCATCCATTCTCATCGGCACAGGCATTCTGGGACCCAGCAGCCCCCAGCCAGCCAGGCAAGGAAGGACCAGGAAGATTGCAGCCTGACAGTGGGACTGGGCTTATAAGCAGATTCCAGCAGGTGTGGCTGGGGTTCAGTGACCTCGAGCCACAGGGATGGCCTTTGGGTATGTCAGGGTCATTGGTCCCATGGTAGGTCCCCTCTGCCTACCCCCTAACTAACTAGGCTGGAAGTTGACTGGGTTAGGGCAGAGTTCACCTAACATGAAACCAGAGTGCAGGGTGAGGAGGCAGGCGGAGACTCAGCCAGATCCCTGCGTGGACCTGAAGAAAACATTCAGATTTATGGACACAGAGCTGCTCTGCCCCCTGAATTCACCCAAAGAGGCCTGTCTCCAGACCCTGCAGCCTGTCGGGGTGAGTGGGAGGCAGGAGGCTGCTCGGCCTGCAGGGTTTGCCTGGTGACTGCAGCCGGGTGAAGCCAGCAGATGAATGTTCTGCTTTTGCGACTGTGCTGTACCTCGTCATCAGATTAATAAAGCATTTTAAGAGCTCCGCATCAAGAGATTACATGAGTATGGCTGACCATTTTACAACACAAAATATTTACATTCAGCTCCCTACACCATAAAAAAAATAAATAAACATTTGCAGGAGGCTGAGCTCAGCGGCTCGTGCCTGTAATCCCAGCACTTTGGGAGGCTGAGACAGGAGGATTACGTGAGGCCAGGAACTTGGGGCCAGCCTGGGCAACATAGCAAGACTCCATCTTTATATTATGGAAAAAAAAAATATTTAAGCAAAACAAATACATTTGCAAAGTTATCTCTATCTGCCAGGAAAATGGGTTAAGGCACCCCCATGTGACCTGAAGGGCACGCCCCACTAGCTGCGGTGCGTCTCAGAATCACATGGCCTCTTGCAGTTTCAAGTTGTTAAGCAGCCTCCTCTGTCTCCTTTGTCTAGATTCTCGCTCACCTGTGGCATCTGGGCTACTCACCAGAAGATATCATTGGCAACATCTTTCGAGTGTGTAAAACTTTCCAAATGGCAGAATACCTGAAACTGGAGTTTATCAAGGTCAGTGAGAGTCTAGGAATGCCGCTATCCTCAAGAATGTGGGTCATGGTGGCCTGGCTTGGTGGCTCACGCCTGTAATCCAAACACTTCGGGAGGTCAAGGTGGGCAGATCACCTGAGGCCAGGAGTTCGAGACCAGCCTGACCAACGCGGTGAAACCCCATCTCTACTAAAAATATAAAAATTACCTGAGTGTGGTGGCACGTGCCTATAATCCCCAGCTACTTGAGAGGCTGAGGCAGGAGAATTGCTTGAACCCGGGAGGCAGAGGTTGCAGTGAACTGAGATCGAGCCACTGCACTCCAGCCTGGGCAGCAGAGCGAGACTGTCTCAAAACAAAAAAAAGCAAGATGGTGGGCTTGGCTTTTTCTGTTTGCTCACGGGCCTGGCACCTAGAAGGTTCTCAGTGGTTCCCAGCTGCAGCGTGAGGGAGGGTGTGTCTTAGTTCCTTTGAGTTCTTATAAAGGAATACCGGAGACGGGGTGATTTAGAAAGGAAGGAGGTTGATTGTCTCTCAATTCGCCAGGCTCTACATGTAGCATGAGGCCAGATCTGCCTCTAGGGAGGGGCTCAGGCTACTTCTGCTCATGTTGGAAGGGCGTAGGGGGAGCCTGTGCATGCAGAGATCACCGGTCGAGGGAACAGAGGGAAGTGCCAGGCTCATTTGAACAGCCAGCTCTCCAGGGAACTAAGGGAACCAGAACTAATTTATTACCTTGGGGTGGGCACCAAGCCATTCACGTGGGATCTCCGTGACCCAAACATCCCCACATTGGGGATCACATTCCAAATGAGATTGGGAGGGGACACACATCCACACTGTATCAGCATGGCTGATTGTCTTGGGCCAACTTTGTTTCACCCAGTTCTGATTTTTTTCATTTGAGGCTCTCTTGTCAGCCGATTGATTTGTTTTGTTTTGTTTTGTTTTGAGACGGAGTTTCTCACTCTTGTTGCCCAGGCTGGAGTGCAGTGGTGTAATCTGTTTGCTGCAACTCCCACCTCCTGGGTTCAAGCGATTCTCCTGCCTCAGCCTCCTGAGTAGCTGGGACTACAGGCACGCGCCACCACACGCAGCTACTTTTTAATATTTTTAGTAGAAGTGGGGTTCACCATGTTGGCCAGGCTGGTCTCGAACTCCTGACTTCAGGTGATCTGCCCGCCTCGGCCTCCCAAAGTGCCGGGATTACAGGTGTGAGCCACTGTGCCTAGCTGACTGATTTTTAAGGTCAGATTAATTGGGGTTTAATTTACATAGAGTAAAATTCAGCCTGTTAGGGACAGGACAAACGCACTCAGTCATGCCAACGCTGTCACAATCAAGATGCAGAATCTGTCATCCCAGAAAACTTAATGTGTCCATTTGAAGTCAGCACCCTCCCTGCCTGCCACCTGGAAACCACTAATGTGCTTTCCCTTTGGGGGATAAAAGTTTCTGGAATGTCATGTAAATGGGATCATGTAGAACTTAACCTTGTGAGTTTGGCTCCTTTCACTTGAGCAGAAACGCCTTTCAGATGTGTACACGTTGGTACCACTATCCATGTTTCAGTCCTTTTTTTTTTTTTGAAACGGAGTCTCACTCTGTCGCCCAGGCTAACGTGCAATGGTGCGATCTCGCCTCACTGCAACCTCGGCCTCCCAGGTTCTGGTAATTCTTCTGCCTCACCCTCCTGAGTAGCTGGGACTACAGGTGCTTGTCACCTCACCCAGCTTATTTTTGTATTTTTAGTAGAGACGGGGTTTCACTATGTTGGTCAGGCTGGTCTGGAACTCCTGACCTCGTGATGTACCCACCTCAGCCTCCAAAAGTGCTGGGACTGCAGGCGGGAATTCAGTCCATTTTATCACTGAGAGGTAGCTCATCCGTGCGCATGTACACCGCTTGCTCATGTGTTCACCAGCTGGAGGAGATTCGGATTTGCAGATTGTGGCGGCTGTGAATAAGCCACTGGAAATATCTGCATATTATATGGATTAGTGTGAATGCAAATGTTAAGTTTTTATTTTTCCCAAGTAAATTCCCAGGGGTGAGATTGCCTGGGCGAATGGTAAGTGTATACTTTACTTGATAAGGACCTGCCAAACTGTTTCCCAAAGTGGCCTAGCGTGTGCATCCCACCAGCATTCCAGAGGATTCTCGACCTAGCCACCATGTGGAGTGCTCAGTTTGGTTTTTAGGCCATTCTAATAGGTGTGTAATGGTCAGATGCAGTGGCTCATGCCTGTAATTCCAGCACTTTGGAGGCCGAGGTGGGTGAATCACTTGACGTCAGGAGTTTGAGACCAGCCTGGCCAATATGGTGAAACCCCATCTCTACTGAAAACACAAGAATTAGCTGGGTGTGGTAGCACACGCCCGTAATCCCAGCTACTCAGGAGGCTGAGTAAGGCGGGGGAATTGTTTGAACCCGGGAGACAGGCGTTGCAGTGAGCCGAGATTGTGCCACTGCTCTCCAGCCTGGGTGACAAGAGCGAGACTCCATCTCAAAAACAAAAAAATGAAAAAAACAATAGCCTGATCGGCGTGTGATGAGATCTCAGAGTGGCTTCGGTTTGCGTTCCCTAATGAATGTCTGAGCATTTTCTACGCTCTTGTTTGCCGTCCAGAATCATCTTGGATGAAACATCTTTTCAGATCTACCCATTTTTAATTTTAATTTTAATCTATTTAGAGAGCAGCCAAGTTTTGTATTTTTGGTAGAGAAGAGTTTTCCCCGTCTTGCCAAGGCTGGTCTTGAACTCCTGGGCTCAAGTTACCCTCCTGCCTTGGCCTCCCAAAGTCCTGGAATTACAGGTGTGAGCCACCGTGCCCGGCCTTTATGACTGAATTTTTGAGAATTCTTTATATAGTCTGGAAGGGAGTTCTTTATCAGATAGATGATTGGTAAATATTTTCCTCTAGCAGGGCCTTTTTCTCCTCCCACCTCATTTTCTTAACAGTATCCTTGAACGAACTACCAGCACCTTTGGAAGACGTAAGTCGAACTTTAGGTAAAAATAATGCATTGCGTCTTAGCATTTATTTTCCAGCTGGAGTTTGAATTCCTTGTGCTGATTTTGAACAAACCATGAGTTGAGTTTGTTTCTGTTTTTAGTTTTTCAGTTCAGACTCTAAACAGAGCTCCCCCACTTACTAACCGGGTTTGAATTGGTTTCTTTTCAGGAAATTGGATACACTCATATGAAAATCGCAGAGGGAGTGAACTCCCTTTTGCAGATGGCCGGCCTCCTGGCCAGGCTGTGTCAGAAGACAATGGCCCCGGTGGCCAGTTAGAGCAGAGACTTGGCTGACTGACTTACAGGTGCCCTATCCTGAGATACAAGAGCTTCGGTCTTCGGATGGGGGAAAAATGCCACCCCAGGCTGGAGCCAGCGTGACTGCCCTTTAAACTCCCATGGCTGGCTGGGTGTGGTGGCTCACGCCTGTAATCCCGCCCTGGAGGCCGAGGCGGGGGGATCACCTGAGGTCAGGAGTTCGAGACCAACCTGACCAACATGGAGAAACCCTGTCTCTGCTAAAAATACAAATATTAGCTGGATGTGGTGTCGAGCGCCTGTAATCCCTTTTTCCCAGGTGGTGGAGGTTGCAGTGAGCCAAGATCCCGCTGTTGCACTCCAGCCTGGCAACAGAGACTACGTGCAAAAAAAAAAAAAAAAAATTACTAAACTCCCGTGGTTTTCATGTTTGCTTGTGGGACGTCTGAGCCCCACCAGTGTTTGCATTCAGCCCCTGCCTCAGCAACGGGGTGACCGGTCGGAAGGACCCAGAGAAGCTGAGGGCGGTACCTGACCGGTGTGGAGTTGACATCTTAGCTGACTGAGCCTGGCCTACTTTGTCAGCAATAAAGTGACCACGTGAAGCCTCGAGGAAAACCAGCTTCCTGTCCCTGCCGGCCTCGGCAGCCTGCAGGTGGGAAAGGCGATTAGATCGTGGACCCGCAGCTCATCTCAGTTCTTTTATTTCTTTCTGTTATTTTTGTCACACACACACACTGCCTGGGTATAAACTCAGTGCATCTCAGTTCTTCCAGAAGTCTGAAGGGACTGCTTCCCTGGGGCCAGGGCAGGGTTTGCTGTCATTTCCTATTGAGACCGACTTCTCAGAATGGCCAGGCGGTGAGCCTTTCCGAGTGGGGAAGTGCAGCACAGCCCTCGGGAAAACACCGCGCCGCCCTTCCTGTGTTCTAGAGGGTGCTTTTTGTGCTTGCTATAAATTCCCTGGAGAATTGCATATTAGCTTGTATAATTGCCTTTGTTTTTGTGTAAGATACTATTTTTTTCTGTTTTTGGTTTGTTTTGATTTTCAAGATAGGGTGTCACTCTGTCGCCCAGGCTAGAGTGTAGTGGGCCAGTCATGGCTCACTGCAGCCTCAGACCTCCTGGGCTCAAGTGATCCTCCCACCTCAGCCTCCCAAGTAGCTGGGGACTATAGGCATGCACCATGATGCCCAGCTAATTTTTAAATTTTTTGTAGAAACAGGGTCTCAACGCTGGGTGCAATGGCTCACACCTGTAATCCCAGCACTTTGGGAGGTTGAGGTGGGCGGGTCACAAGGCCTGAAATTCAAGACCAGCCTGGCCAACATGGTGAAACCTCGTCTCTACTAAAAATACAAAATTAGCCAAGCATGGTGGCGCACATCTGTAATCTGAGCTACTCAGGACGCTGAGGCAGGAGAATCGCTTGAACCCGGGAGGTGGAGGTTGCAGTGAGCCGAGATGGCACCACTGCACTACAGCCTGGGCAACAGTGAGACTCCTCAAAAAAAGAAAGAAACTTGCCCCTGAGCTTGTGCAATCAGGACTTCAGGGTGTGAAGTAACAGGCAGGCGGCAGTGGGCTCTAGATGTTTCTTCTGATTTCTTCACTTACGATAATTTTCTTCTCCAGGGAAGAATCCCTGGGCCACCCCAGAAAGACGCCTGGACTTGGGGACCAAGGTCCCATCCGCAGCCCTAGTGCTCTCAGGGTCTCTCTATTTATTTTTTTTGTAGAGACGGTTTCGCCATTTAGGCCAGGCTGATCTTGAACTCCTGACCTCAGGTGATCCACCCGCCTCGGCCTCCCAAAGTGCTCGGATTACAGGCGTGAGCCACCGTGCCCAGCCAGGGGGTCTGTGTTAAACAAGAGCTGTGGCTGTCATTCCTCTGAGGTTTTGTGTTTTGTTTTGCTTTTTGAGACAAGGTCTCCCTCTCGCCCAGGCTGGAGTGCAGTAGTGCAGTCACAGCTCACTGCAAGCTTCTGGGTTCAAGCAGTTTTCCTGCCTCAGCCTTCCAAGTAGTTCGGACAGATTACAGGTGTCCAAGACTGCAGTACTGCCAAGCCCAGCTAATTTTTGTATTTTTTTACACAGACGGGTCTTGCTTTGTTGCCCAGGCTGGTCTTGAACTCCTAGGCTCAAAGAATCCTCCCGCCTCGGCCTCCCAAAATGCTGGGATTCCAGGTGTGAGTCACCGAACCTGGCCCCTTAAAAGGTGTTTTTACCAGAAGCCGGGGAAAGCAGACACGGGATAATCATGGCTTTTAAACAAACGGTTTTATTGAGACATTTTGGTCCCACACTTCCCATGAGTCACATCACATCCAGTCAGCTCCGCAGAGGCCAGCCCTGGAGCAGAGGACTGGGGCCGTGGAGAGGCCCTGCTCTGCTCCGTTCTGGTCAGCGCCTCTCTGGACTCTTAACTTGTACTATTGTCCTTAGCAAGTGACATTTCCACTGGAAGTTCATAAAGACAACAACAGCCTAATTTCTTCCTACATGAACTGAGGCAAAGAGGAAGGGGAGGTCCCCACTAGGGAAACAGCCAGGGCCCCACCTACCCAGGATGCTGAAATCAGCTACATGTAATGCTTTCTAAGAGACAAGACAGAAATCTCTAAATCCAGAATATTAAATATGGCTCCCCCTCTATAAGTTAACTGTCCAAGCTTATCCTTAAAAACCCCAGCAACCAACAACAGCAATTAGGAATCCAAATTCATAGCAAAAAAAGGACACGGATACCAGTGTTGGAGAATGGTTTTGGTTACGGGGACAGGGTGACAGCTTATCCTAAATCCTGGGCATCCATCTGTCCACACCTGGAGCCAGTTACCCTCGGCACCAGGTGCCCACCCCGCAAAGCCCAGACCAGGAGATGGCTTGGTGGCAGGGCTGCGGCTCCCACGAGTAACTGTCCCTTCCCGGGCTGTGTCCATGGCCAGGTGGTCCTCAGGGTGGCTGGTGCTCCTGCCAGGAGCTGTGATTGCAGTGGGCTTGAAAATTGAGTAGCTCTGGGAAATGGTCCTTGGAAGGCAGCCACAGGTCCGGGAGCACAGTGGTCCCCTGGGCTCTTCGCCTTGGCTCCTTAAGTGAAGAAAGGGTTTGTAGAATGAGGCTTGTCTTCATCAGTATTTTGTTCTGAGAACAGAGCCACTGGTTTCGGGATAGCATTGAGCCTGCCTGCTGGTTGAGAACAGAACCCATCCATCAGTCACTGGGTTTCTTTCCTTTTTTTTATATACTTACTTATTTCATTTTTGTGGATAACAGGGTCTCACTATATTGCCAAGGCAGGTCTTGAACTCCTGGGCTCAAGCTGGCCTCCTGCCTCTGCCTCCCTAAGAGCTGGGATTACGGGTGTGAGCCACTGCGCCCAGCCTCCCTCCTCTCCTCTTCCCCCCTTCCCCCCTCCCTTCCCTCCTTTCCTGACGGAGCTTTGCTCTTGTTGCCCAGGCTGGAGTGTAATGGTGCGATCTCAGCTCACTGCAACCTCCCCTCTCCGGGTTCAAGTGATTCTCCTGCCTCAGCCTCCCGAGCAGCTGGGACTACAGGCATGTGCCAGCACACCCAGCTAATTTTAATATTTTTAGTAGAGACGGTTTCACCATGTCAGCCAGGCTGGTCTCTAACTCCTGACCTCAGGTGATCTGTCCACCTCAGCCTCCCAAAGTGGTGGACTTACAGGCATGAGCCACTGCGCCCGGCCTCTTTTTTGTTTGTTTGCGTTTCAAGACAGGGTCTTACTCTGTTGCCCAGGCTGGAGTGTAGTGGTGCAGTCACAGCTTACTGCAGCTCAGCCCCCTAGGCTCAAGCTGGACTCCCACCTCGCCTCCAGGTAGCTAGGACTACACGTGTGTGCCACCACACCTGGCAGATTTTTGTATATTTTGTAGAGATGGCATTTCGCCATGTTGCTCGCCCCGTCTCCACTCCTGGCCCAGATGGCACCAGTGCCTGTGTCCTTCCTGTCCCCACTCTCCCAGTACCCATTTGCCCAACAGCCAGAGAAATTGAATTAAAAACATCCAGCTGCTCTTGTGTCCAAAACCTTCCCATTGGCTGGGCATGGTGTCTCACACCTGTAATCCCAGCACTTTGGGAGGCTGAGGCCAGAAGATTGCTTGCGCCCAGGAGTTCAAGATCAGCCGGGCAACATAACAATACCCTGTCTCAAAGAAAAAGAAAACCAGCCAGGCATGGTGATTCACACCTGTAATCTGAGCACTCGGAAGCTGAAGTGAGTGGATCACCTGAGGTCAGGAGTTCAAGACCAGCCTGGCTAATGTGAAACCTGATCTCTACTAAAAATACAATGGACTGGCACAGTGACTCACGCCTGTGACCCTAGCACTTTGGAAGGCCAGCGCAGGTGGACCACTTGAGTTCAGGAGTTCGAGACCAGCCTGGCCAACATGGTGAAACCCCATCTCTCGCCACTGCACTCCAGGCTGGGTGACAGAGTGACAATCTGTCTTAAAAAATACAGAATAAAATTGGCATGGTGGCAGGCGCCTGTAATCCCAGCTACTTGAGAGGCTGAGGCAGGAGAATCGCTTGGACCTGGGAGGTGGAGGTTGCAGTGAGCTGAATCACACCACTGTACTCCAGCCTGGAAAACAGGAGCAAAACTCATCACAAAAAACACCTTTCTATCTCCCTCCCTCCCTCCCATCTCATGCAGTAAAACCCCAAGTGCTGGCCCTGCCTGGTCCGCCTCCCCACCTCTGGCCTCCACCTCGACTAGTCTCCCCTCACCTGCTCCTCCCCAGCCCCTGGCTTTGCTCAGACCTGTGGGGCTCGCTCCACTCTGGGGCTCTGTTGTCCCCTCTGCCTGGATGTCCTTCCCCATGACAGGGTGAGGAAGGGAGCTCCGAAAGGCTTCCCTGGCCTCCTTAAATTACAACACCCCGTCTTGCCCACAGCCCCACACTACTTCCTGCCCCCGCTTCCCTGCTTGATTTATCTCTGCTGCACCTACCACCAGTGGACATGGCCTGTCTTATCTGTTTTTTTGCTTTCATTTTTTTTTTTTTTTTTTGACAGGGTCTCACTGTCATTCTGGCTGGAGTACAGTGGTATAACCATAGCTTACTGTAGCCTTGAACTCCTGGGCTCAAACGATCCTCCTGCCTCAGCCTCCCAAGTAGCTAGGACTGCAGGTGCACAGTGCTATGCCCAGCTAATTTTTAAGTGTTTTGTTTTTTTGAGACAGGGTATTGCTCTGTTACCACATGCAGCCACAGCTCACTGCAGTGACGATGGCTCATTGCAACCTTGACCTCCCTGGCTCAAGTGATCTTCCCACCTCAGCCTCCCGAAACAGTGGGACTCTACAGCACGTACCATCACGCCTGGCTAATTTTAAAAGTTTTTGTAGAGGCCGGGCCTGGTGGTGCATAACTGTAATCCCAGCTACTTGGGAGGCTGAGGCAGGAGAGTTGCTTGAACCCAGGAGATGGAGGTTGCAGTGAGCTGAGATTGTGCCACTGCATACCAGCCTGAGGGACAGAATGAGACTCTGTCTCAAAAAAAAAAAAGGTTTTGTAGAGACAGAGGTCTTGCTCTGTTGCCCAGGCTGGCCTTAAACTCCGAGGCTCAAAGGATACCCCCACCTTGGCCTCCCACAGTGCTGGGATTATAGGCATGACCGGTGTGTGCAGCCCTATCTGTTTTCTCTCTCCCACTAGAATGTAAGTTCTAAGGGGCCAGGGGTTTCCTGTTCTTTGTTTATATCTGTGTCCCCGGTGTGCCCAGAGCAGGACTCGCCCCTAGCAGGGGTCCGCTGGATACCGGTTGAATGAATGACATGGGGCCCTGCACACTCGGTTCACACTCCTGCACCTGCCTCTGGGGCAGACTCCTGACCACCCAGGTTCCCTGTGGTTTCAACCCTCCAGCCTGCCCTCGGAGACGATGTCCTGTGTCTCCCAGATGGGGACTTTGGGCAGCCCAAGGCCCTCAGGGGTTTATCCTGCTTCCCAAGCAGAAGACACAGCCTGGGCTTTGATGTCTGACCACAGGGGCTTCCATCTCCTCCTCCCCTTACCCCAAAATGTGACCTTGGGCAGGTGGCTTAACTGCTCTGTGGCTTTGGGTGCTAAGAAATGGTGTATGTGGAGCGGTGGGCGGTTAGCATGACACCATCTCACTGGCCTGTGGCGGCTCCTCGGTGCCTCTCCACCGCTGCTGCCTCTCCCAGTGCCCACCTCCTCCGTTTCCAGCACTGACCCAGTGCCTGCTGCACCGAGCCTTTCTGTGCTGTCTTGTCTTTTTTTTTCTTCAATTTATTAAGACGGCATCTCGCTCTGTCACCCAGGTTAGAGGACAGTGGTGCGATTTGGGCTCACTGCAACCTCTGCTTCCCAGGTTCAAGCGATTCTCCTGCCTCAGCTTCCTTAGTAGCTGGGATTACAGGCACACACCAACACACCCGGCTAACTTTGTACTTTTAGTGGAGACGGGGTTTCTCCATGTTGGCCAGGCTGGTCTCAAACTCCTGACCTCAGGTGATCGCCCGCCTCGGCCTCCAAAAATGCTGGGATTATAGGTGTGAGCCACAGCACCCTACCATGTGTGCGAGGTCTAAGAGGTGGGCACTGGCCTGGCACAGTGGCTCACACTTGTAATCCCAATACTTGAGAACAATATGGTGAAACCATGTCTCTACTAAAAATACAAAAATTAGCCGGGTGTGGTGGTGCGTGCCTGTGGTCCCAGCTACTCAGGAGGCTGAGGCAGCAGACTCGCTTGAACCTGGAAGGCAGAGGCTGCAGTGGGCCGAGATGGCACCCCTGCACTCCAGCCTGGGCAACAGAGGGAGACTCCATCTCAAAAAAGAAAAAAAAGGAGGGGGCACCAAGTGAGGAACTAGGTTCTAGGAGGTTGTCACTTGGTGCAAGGTTGAAGCTAGGAGGAGGTGGGGGAGCTGGGAGACCCACCTGGCGCCCGTTCCTTTGCCCCTCAAGTCATCAGAATTCCCTGCCTGACGCCCGTGGCCACAGTCAGTGTCACCTCACCAGGCCTGCGGCTGCTGTATTCTCCTAGTCCCACAGGACTAAAGCCAGGCAGGAACTGCAGGGAAGTGGGGCTCCCTTCAGAGGGAGACCCAGAACAGAGGAGCAGAGTCACCAGGCTACCCCCTGGGAGCATCCATGGGTACACCCTGCAGCCCCCACCATGGCCCCTCTACCCACACACTCAGCTGTTCCCTTGGATTGGGGGTCCTGCAGCCTGGAAGACCTCTAACCCTTGGCCCATGGCAGCTGGAGAGCAGGGGCCTACCTTCCTTCTTGGTCTATCCTAGGCTTCTGAGACCGCCACCTCCCTGTTCACGTAATCCGGTTCCCCGTCTTCCTCCTCCTCATCTGGGCTTCTGGCCAAGCCAGGGGATGCTTCTCTCTGGACTTGCCCTGCAGACCAGTGGGCAGACAGGTCATCGGGTGGTTCATGTGGACACACCCATGACTGTTCCCCCAACTGGGGTGCCGGGCTCAGACCCCCAGACTCCACAAAACAGCCTGTGGGAAATGCCACACCGGACAGGTCCTGGCGGTGTGTGTCTCCCAGCCCTGGGATTTGCCAGAGATCTTCGTGCTCTGAGAGGTGAACAGGTTACTCCATGCACGCAGCTGGTGGAGGTTGCAGTGAGCCGAGATCGTGCCACTGCACTCCAGCCCCCAGTGATAATGGGGTCTTCCCTGCAGAAAGGGAGGCTAGGGCCCCTTGGCCCACTCCCACTGAGGCTCCAGGAGCCGATGAAGCCACCTCTGAGGATATGCCCTGCCTGGGAGGACCTGACCCCACCCTGGAGGCCAGGGCAGCTGCTGAGGGCCATCATGCGTGGTTCAAGGTCTCTGCAGCTGCTTCTGCACCCCAGGTGTCACTGCAGGGTCAGCTGCACTGGTTGGAGGAAAGCCCACACTCAGCCCCGCCCTTCCAGGCCAGTCCCTCAAGCCTGCCCTAAGTAGGCCGACCACCCTGCGTCCTCCTCCCGGCCACCTACCCATGGCCCTCCTGGACTCTCGCCACTGACGGATGGATGCTGAGTTCTGATAATCCTCAGATTCCTCATCTTCCAGGGGCACAGAGGGACAGGGACCAGAGGTGGGGCCAGTCTTCACAGCTGGCAAGGGACTGTGTTCTCCACAGAGGCCACCTGTGTCCTCCTGCTGGGCACCTGCAGGGAGGGAGGATAGGACCCCCTCAGCTCAGTCCCACTGAGGTGCCAGGAGCCGATTGAGCCTCCTCCAAGGATGCTGGGGGCAAGGCTCTACCCAAAGACTGGGGATCCGAGAGCCTTCAGGCTTCAAGGTGGGGCGGCATTTGATCAGTGGGTAGTGCAGGGGCACCTGGCGGAGGGGTCTGCTGCTCCCAGCCCCAGCCTGCCCCTAACTGGGCAGCCTTACCTGGCTCTGTTGTTTTCTGCTTACAAATGAGCACGTTCTCGTAGGAATTGTCATCATCATCTGCAGGAGAGGGGAGTGGGCGTGGAGCTGTGCGGACTCTGAAAGGCCTGGCTCCTCTGTCCTGCCCTCCCTTTGCAGAGGACCTCTCCTGCCCTAGATCTCTGGGTACCCGAGGAACCTCAATCCTTCTCCTGGAAGAGTTTCCTAATGGGTGCTGGCCTAGCACCCTGTGGGCTCTTCCCTGAGCCCTGAGCTCTTTTTCTTTTTTCCTTGTGGAGACAGGGTCTCTGTCACCCAGGCTGGAGAGCACTGGCAAAGCCCTAGCTCACTGCAGCCTCCAATTCCTGGCTCAGGGGATCCTCCCACCCCTAAGCATCCTGAGTGACTACAGGCATGCACCACTACGCCCAGCTAACTAAACATTTTTTTTGTAGAGAATCTTACTATGTTGCCCAGGCTGGTCTAGAACCCCCAAGCTCAAGCGATCGTCCCAAAGTGCTGCGATTACAGGCATGAGTCACTGTGCCAAGCATCCTTCTCTGTCTTCTGGGAGCCCCTCCAAATGCATTGGAGCGGGGCACTTGGGGAGAGGTTTGCATTTCAGGCCCATGATGGGTGGCTGGAAGGAGGAAGGGAGGCAGGGGGCAGCTCAGAGGCTCATCTCTATGGGGCACTCAGGAGCTCTCCCTAGAGCCACTGCCAGGAGGGGGCTGGACTCTTCCAGATAGGGCAGGGCGGGCTGGGGATGCTTTGCTCAGGGACACAGGCTGAGTGTGGCATCTCTGAGCCTGGCACCCATCCTGGCCCTGTCATGGGGAAGCTGGGCTCTGACCGATGTCCCGCCTGATGTCCATCAGTAATGACGGGGTCCTAAGAAATGAGCACTGCTGGCAGGGCGCGGTGGCTCACACCTGTCATCCCAGCACTTTGGGAGGCCGAGGCTGGAGGATCACCTGAGGTGAGGAGTTCGAGAGCAGCCTGTTCAACATGGTGAAACCCCATCTCTACTAAAAATACAAAAAATTAGCCAGGTGTGGTGGTGTGTGCCTGTAATCCCAGCCACTTGGGAGGCTGAGGCAGGAGAATCGCTTGAACCCAGGAGGCACCCGGGAGGCAGAGGTTTCGGTGAGCCAAGATTGTGCCACTGCGCTGCAGCCTGGGTGACAGGGAGAGTCCATCTCAAATGAAAAAAAAAAGTGGAGGTGGCAGTGGTGGGGGCAGAAGAGGATCCCCGAACACCTACACGGGCATGGCCCAGGTGGGAGCCAGGCCCCTGCCCCTCTCGGCACGCACCGCCCACGCTTACCCCTCTGTTGCCCTTCTTTTAACTGACATGAAGTCTTGCTCTGTCACCCAGGCTGGAGTGCAGTGGCATAACTCAGCTCACTGTAACCTCCACCTCTTGGGTTCAAGCGAGTCTCCTGTCTCAGCCTCCCAAGTAGCTGGGATGTCAGGCATGTGCCCACGCCACGTCCAGCTAAATTTCTTGTGTTTTTGTAGAGAGGGTTTCATCGTGTTGGCCAGGTTGGTCTCAAACTCCGGACCTCAAATGATCCACCCATCCCGGCCTCACAAAGTGCTGGGATTATAGGCGTGAGCCACCGCGTCTGGCCTCTCAGTTGCCCTTTCTATAAAGCAAAAGCATTCAGGGCCCAAGGCTCTGGTGTTCTCAGCCTGCGGGGATCACTGTCCCTGGTACCTCTGGGCTCACCAGGAGATGCTCAGTCCTTTTTGACAGGGGCCTGGTCTCCCCCAACCTCCCTGAGCCAGCCCTCTAGTTCCCTGTCCCTGTGGCCCACTCCTCTCTCGCATGCCCTGTGCCCACAGCTCCCCCACTGACCCACCTGCCCCCTGGCCCTCCTTGGCCCCTGCCTGCAGCGACAGCCTCCTGTCCACCCACCCTTCTCTGCCAATTCACCCGAACCCAAGTCCAGCCTCCTCTCCTGCCTGGAGTGGCTTCTGCCCCGAGCTCCCAGATCACTTCCTCCCCCGCCTCTGCCTCACCTTCGGGGGGCTTTGAGAACCGCCCCCAGTTGTAATACTCCATGGCAATGGGGTCTCTGGCCAAGAGAACAGACAGCATAGATTTCAGGACAGGCTGGAGGGCAGGGTGGGAGGCCTCATGGGGGTGGTGAGGCCAGGGATGCTCCCACTATTGCTCTTGGGGGCCCTGGGGACCCTGCCAGGATCCCCTCTCTGATTCCCCTACCCCCACTTCCTGGAGCCCTTGGGCCACTGGGGAGGCTGGAGGGAGGGATGCCTGGCTGGACCCACCTGTTTTTATTTTTATTTTTTTTGAGACAGAATCTCACTCTGTCACCCAGGCTGGAGTGCAGTGGCACAATCTCAGCTCACTGCAACCTCTGCCTCCTGGGTTCAAGCAATTCTCCTGCCTCAGCCTCCTGAGTAGCTGCGATTATAGGTGTGTGCCACCACACCCGGCTAATTTTTGTATTTTTCTAGAGATGGGTCTTCATCATGTTGGTCAGGCTGGTCTCGAACTCCTGGCCTCAGGTGATCCTCCTGCCTCAGCCTCCCAAAGTGCTGGGATTACAAGCGTGAGCCACCTTGCTATGTGACCTTAGGCCAGCCCACATGGTTTGCCCATCTGTGAGATGAAGCAACACACTGAGGGGTGCTGGGTAATGCTGAATGAGTCTCTATTCCCCACCCCACACACCCTGTGTCCCAGAGCAGGGTCAAGTCTGGTCCCACAAAGCCAGGGTCACCTGAGAGTCAACAGGTCCACCCAAGGCCTGCCTGCCAGGAGAAGGAGGGGAACGTGGACACCAAGTTCTAGTGCCAGAGGTGGTTCCTAGACCAGGAAGCCCAGGGCCGTGTGGGCAGGTGAGGCAGTGGGAGAGGTGAGGCCACTCACACGTAGGCGTCCTCCGACCCGTGTCTGCTTCCTACGGGAGGAGGCGAGAATCAGGCCTGAGCCCCTGGGCTGCAGCCCCACCGTGGCCTCCCCCTCTCCCCAGGAGCCCACCTACCTTTGCTGAAGTTCTGGTACCTGGGAAATGCTGGATCTGGAAGAAGAGAAGGCCCGGCTCATCGCCTGCTCCTGGCCCCGGCTTTCCACCCAGCTCAGGCTCCACAGCCCAAGGCAGAGCAAGGTGTTTCCTTGGTCTGAGCCTTTGCTATGCTCCCTGTCCCCTCCGTCGGGCATGTGCAGGTGCGCACCCTCCCTGGGCCAGGCCGCCCTGCCCAGCCTGTGTGTCTCTGCTGGAGAGGCCTTCCCTGGCCCTGCAGCCACCACTGCATGAGGCCTGTCCCCCCAGCTGTTGGCCTTAGTCCCAGCTTGGCTAGGCCTGTCCCTGTCCCTGTGCCACTTACCCTCCAGGCTGGGGGAGAACTGCAGCAGCTTGTCCTTCCTGCAGGGACAGGGATGGGGGTTGAAGGAGGGACTGTAGGGGAGAGGCCGTCATAGTTGAGCCCTGGGGCTCTGGGGCCGAGGGAGGGAGGGAGGGAGGGAGGTCTTGGCCTGGGTTCACCACGTGGGGACCTCCAGGACCTACCTTCCTTGTCACTTCCTGGGGGCTGTGACCTACCTTGCGGGTGCTGTGTCCACCAGGGGTCCTGGCCATGCCTGCCCGACCACTGCAAAGGACAAGAAGTGTGGTGTTGGCTGGGCCTCCGGGCTAGCCCAGCCCCTCATGCCATCACCCCCCTCCAACATCAGGCCTGGCCATGGTGTCAGGGCAATGGGCACTGAGAGAACTTAACAAGGACACCCCCAACCCAGAGCCCAGCCCGGGACCCTTGGAGACTTACAGGAGTAGGTCTGGGACCCTGTAAAGCTCTGTTGGTCCTCACGCCTGGAAATGCAAGGGCTGTGCTGAGCCTGGGCCTGTCCTCCCACAGCCCGGGGCCACAGGGACGGGAGAGATGGATGCGGACAAGGAGGGAGAGCAGAGGGATGGACCCGGGCGACAGTGGGGAGGAACTGCTGCCCTTTCAAGCCTCAGACTCTCAGGTCCCACTGCAACCCCCATTCTCTGGTCCCTCTGCACACTGAGTGCCCACCGCTCACACAGGGCCCTGGGCTGGAGCCCCGCACTCAGCAGCCCCATTCCCAACATGGCCTCAACAGGGCCTGCTGGGGGGTCCTAGGCCCCTGGAGATGGTCAGAGGGGTCTGTGGACAGGGCTGGGGAGGCAGCCCTGAGATCCTGGGGCATGAGGGTGAATAAAGACCTGCTCAGGGACCCAGCGGTGACTTGGGGTAAATTATTTCAGCCAGGAGTGACAAAGAGGCTGCTTCCCACCTTTAATTCCTTAAAATAGCACATGCGGCTGGGTGTGGTGGCTCACACCTGTAATCCCAGCACTTTAGGAGGCCGAGGCAGGTGGATCACTTGAGGTCAGGAGTTCAAAACCAACCTGGCCAACATGGGGAAACCCCATCTCTACTAAAAATACAAAAAAAAAAAAAAAACGATCCAGGCATGGTGGGCGCCTGTAATCCCAGTTACTCAGGAGGCTGAGGCAGGAGAATCACTTGAACCCAGGAGGCGGAGGCTGCAGTGAGCCGAGATCACGCCACTGCACTCCAGCCTGGGCGACATAATGAGACTCCATCTCAAAAAAAACAGCACATGCTCTGTGGACATTCAAACCTACCATTTACTTCCAAATAACTGGCAAGACAAGTTCAAGGCTTAGCAGACACAGCCAAGTGCCCAGCCGTCACCTGATCCCCCTTCTTCCTTTCAGAAGAAACTTTGATTTTTATTTAGACAGCCTGTGCTCATGCCAAAGGCTATCCTGGCCAGTGCGGTGCCTCACACCTGTAATCCCAGCACTTTGAGAGACAGGCCGAGGTGGGCGGATCACTTGAGGTCAGGAGTTCGAGACCAGCCTGGCCAACATGGTGAAACCCCGTCTCTACTAAAAATGCAAACAATTAGCCAGGTGTGGTGGTGTGTGCCTGTAATCCCAGATACTCAGGAGGCTGAGGCAGGAGAATCGCTTGAGGTAGGCAGAGGTTGCAGTGAGTCGAGATCGTTCTATGGCACTCCAACCTGAGCAACGGAGAGAATGAGACTCTATCTCAAAGTAAATAAATAAATAAATTAAAACACTATCCCTAGCCTTCCTTACACCAAAATGTGGCCACGGATTAAGCTCTGGTCAATGAGATTCAAGCCAAGGTTGTTGATATTTCCAATAAATCTTTTTAAAGGGGGGCACTGGCAACTGGGAGACACCCTTTGTATCCTTGTTCCTTCTTACTTTCTACTGCTGGGAATGCAGAGATGAGGGCCAGTGCCCCAGCTGCCATCTTGGATCATGAGGCACTTAAAAATAGAAGCCACCATTACAGATGATGGCGTGGATTCACTCATTATTACAGCAGGTTTTGGCCAGGTTCAGTGGCTCATGCCTGTAATCCCAGCACTTAGGGAGGCCGAAGTGGGTGGATCACAAGGTCAGGAGTTCAAGACCAGCCTGGCCAAGATGGTGAAACCCTGTCTCTACTAAAAATAAAAATATATATATTATCCAGGCATGGTGGCACACACCTGTAATCCCAGATACTTGGGAGGCTGAGGCAGAAAATTGCTTGAACCTGGGAGACAGAGGTTGCAGTGAGCCAAGATCGTGCCACTGCACTCCAGCCTGGGCATCAGAGCAAGACTCCATCTCAAAGTAATAATAAAGCAGGTTTTGGGGTTCCTCCTCTGAACCAAAATGGGTACCTGGACCAACCTTCCAGGAGCTCCTGGAGGACTGGGGCTAAGGGTGGCCTCTTTTAGGAGAGATACCCTAAATCCACAGAAGAGAGTCAGACATGGCTTCCTGGGAGAAGCAGCACAGGAGCTGGGCCTGTGCTCACAGCAGTCAGTTCATGCAGGCTGATGGAACCGAACCAAACCGAGGTAACAGATGGAGAGACAGGCAAAGGCCTTCCAGGGAGGGGACCCAACAGCCCCCCCCCACCTCCCACCTCCCACATGGGGACCTGTGGTGGTCTGGCCTTGACGATCTATGGCTCTAAGATTAATCATGGGGCCTGAGGGGAGAGGGGAGAGGGGACGCGTCCAAGGAGTCAAGAGTGTGGGGGACGCTGGGGGAGGTTGCAGGCAGGCCAGAAACCATGTGGCCAGCAAGACGCAGAAAGGTCTAGGCCTGGCCCACGGTGAGCAAGGCTGGGAAGATTCTATTTTCAAATCTCACTGTGGTTTTTCAGTTGCAAAAGGAAATGAGGAAGGATGTGTGTGCGTGCATGCAGGCGTGGGTGGGTCATGAGTGACTGCTCGGGGTGAATGTGGACCTCCAGGTTCTCTGAGCCTGCAGTCAATCATTCTGTTTTTTTTTTTCTTTGAAAAAACCGAGTTTCACTCTCGTTGCCCAGGCTGGAGTGCAGTGGTGCGATCTCGGCTCACCAAAACCTCCACCTCCCGGGTTCAAGCGATTCTCCTGCCTCAGCCTCCCAGGTAGCTGAGGTTACAGGCATGCGCCACCACACACAGATCATTTTTGTACTTTTAGTAGAGATGGGGTTTCTCCATGTTGGTCAGGCTGGTCTCGAACTCCCAACCTCAAGTGATCTGATCGCCTCGGCCTCCGGAAGTGCTGGGATTACAGGCATGAGCCACCTTGCCCAGGCAGTCAATCATTTTCTTAATCCAAGGACACCCGTGGCCACTGTCCCCGTGTCCGGGTTGTGTTGGGTTTCAGCCTCAGCCCCTGGTCCACAGCATCTAACCCACTGCCCTTCCCTGCATCTGTCTTTGTCACAGTCCTTCCCTGGAACCTGAGGGACTTGCCCACATCCTCCCCTGAGCTCCGACAGCTTTTCCCAGGGAGGTCTCCAACAACACCCACGTTTCGCTCTGTGCCGAGGTCTCTGTCTCCCGCATTCCACAGGGAGAGCAGACCCTCTGTCTGCCCCCCAGCACTAGCCCTGGGGGACTGGGGTCAAAGGAAGGCAGGCTGAGGACACAGGTGCTGGACTTCTAATGTTTTTTCTATTTTTTTCTCTTTTTTTTTTCTGAGATGGAGTCTCACTTTTTACCCAGGCTGGAGTGCAGTAGCGTGATCTCAGTTCACTGCAACCTCCACCTCCCGGGTTCAAGTAATCTTCCTACTTCAGCCTCCCAAGCAGCTAGGAGTACAAGCACTCGCCACCACACCTAATTTTTGTATTTTAGTAGAGATTGGATCTGACCATGTTGTCCAGGCTGGTCTCGAACTCCTGACCTCAGGTGGTCCACCGCCTCGGCCTCCCAAAGTGCTGGGATTACAGGAGTGAGCCACCGCACCCGGCCAGATGCCTAGACTTCTAGAGGGCTTCACAGGCAAGCTGAAGAGTGGCCAGCCCCACAGCCGAGGCCTCCCCGCCTCCCAAAGCCCCCGCAACCCAAGCTGCAGCAGGGCCTGAGAGCATCTGGGCACTGCCTCTCCCTTCTCTGATGCCTAGGGACTGGCTAAGACTGGCACAGAGGTGTGAGTGAAGGGGTGAAGGACGGGGTGCCAGGAATACCCTTGGGGACACCCATGCCCAGGGCTGAGGACATCGAGGCAACTCACAGACTTCTCTGCTGGTAGATTTTCTCTGACCTCTTCGCACCTGCAAAAACAAGCCAGGATTAGCAAGGGTCCGGGAGCTGCTGTGAACTGAGGTCAGATACTCCCCCCGCCCCCACCCCGTGTCTTGTCTCCCAGCAGCAATCAAGCTGTCAATCATCACCAGCCACCTGATACTAAAGAATATTTGGGGCCAGGTGTGGTGCCCCAGCACTTTGGGAGGCCAAGGTGGGAGGATCACCTGAGGTCAGCAGTTTGAGACCAGCCTGGCCAACATGGTGAAACCCCATTTCTACCAAAAACACAGAAATTAGCTGGGCTTGGTGGCACATGCCTCTAATACCAGCTACTCGGGAGGCTGAGGCAGGAGAACTGCTTGAACCCAGGAGTCAGAGGTTGCAGTGAGCTGAGATTGTGCCACGCACTCCAGCCTGGGCGACGGAGCAAGACTTTGTCTCAAAAAAAAAAAAAGACTGGGCGCAGTGGCTCACGCATGTAATCCCAGCACTTTGGGAGGCCGAGGCAGGCAGATCACCTGAGGTCAGGAGTTCAAGACTAGCCTGGTCAACATGGTGAAACCCCATCTTTTAAAAAAAAGTATTTGCTCAGAGTATTTTAGAAGAGGAAAGGTTGGAAAAGTGGATGCCACAGGCAGCCACGTCTCCCCTCCTTGGAGGGGAGTTTCTCTGGCCCAGGACACTGCAGCTGACGCAGCAAAACCAAAGCCCCAGGTGCACGTGACCACTGTCTTCAGGGGGCAGTTTATGGGTTCAGGGGTCACCTCAGGAGGGTCATCTGCCCTTTCTGACCACAGCCAGGTCTGCGCTGACAGGGTCTCTGGGGTGCACCGCCCATGCTTCTCTCCATCACTCCCCCGGGCCCCCGCCTACCTGGACGTGAGCAGCGCACACACAGGCTAGCTGCCACCCCCAGCAGCACCAGCAGCGCTGCCCCGGGCCACAGCAGTTCAGTCCCTGAGCTCATGCTGGCTCCTGGTGTTGCCTCCTGTGGTTCTGAGATGGGGGGTGCCCGTGAGCAAGGGGACCCTTTTTCAGGAATCCCACCCCATGCCCCCAGCCAGAACAGTCACATAGCTGAGTCCAGGCTGCAGAAATGTCACCTCCCCTCCTGGTTCCTGCACTGGGCAAGGACAGAACCAGTCTTGTTCACCCCACGGGACCCCAAAGCAACACGTCTGCCTCGTGGCCCAGCATCACCCTTGATAAATGCTGGAAGGTTCTGGGGACCCACAAGATACCCCTATGCGCACGCCCACAGCCCTACACACAGCCTCCCTTAATCCAGACAAGGTTGCCCTTGGAAGGTGAAGTTCACTGCCTTTCACAAATCGAGAAACTGAGGCCAGAGAGCTCGCATCTGCTAAGTGGAAAGACGGGATTCAGGCTGCAGCATCCTGCCCCGAGTCCTGGCTCTGCTCATCACATTTGTTGCCTCTAGTAAAGCCACCCTGGCTTCTGGAGGTGACAGTCACAGTCTGTGATCACTACCCATACAGAAGCACCAGGAAGCCCCCGCCCATCCCAGGGCAACTGAGGGCTCCTCTCTGCCCAACTCCTGCCTGGGGGTCCCCCGAGGCCCACCCAGGACCTGGGAATGGGACTTCCATTCCTGAAACAACTGCAAGCCCAGATTCTGCCTGTGGTGAGAGCTGGGAGGAGGGGAGTCAGGGAAGGCTTCTTGGAGGAGGTGGCCCAAGAGCACGAGGTGGAGAAAGGTAGGCTGGGTGCACCGGCTCACACCTCTAATCCCAGCACTTTGGGAGGCTGAGGTGGGCGATCACAGGGTCAGGAGATGGAGACCATCCTGGCCAACATGGTGAAACCCTGTCTCTACTAAAAATGCAAAAAAATTGTCGGAGCGTGGTGGCGGGTGCCAGTAATCCCAGCTACTCAGGAGGCTGAGGCAGGAGAATTACTTGAACCCACGAGGCGGAGATTGCAGTGAGCTGAGATCTCACCACTGCATTACAGCCTGGGCAACAGTGTGAGACTCAGTCTCAAAAAAAAAAAGTTGATCCGAAGCGGGCTGAGGCCCTAGGGCCCTGCTGCAGGTGTCTGGAGGGGATGAGCTGGGATCCAAGGCTGGGCTGGAGGCTCGATGTTGCGGGGAGGGGGCCCTGAATCCCCAGCTGGCACCTGGCTGGCTTCTGGGTCTGTGGCTGGTCCCAGCCTTGAAACCACGGCGTGATGACCAGGCCTCAGCAAAGACACATGCACACCACACACCGTGGCCTGGTGGATGGAAGCGTGGCCCTCTCGAGTGGGCTTCTAAGAACTGTTGCAACCATAAACAGCCCAAGCCAGGCGCAGTGGCTCAAGCCTGTAATCCCAGCACTTTGGGAGGCCGAGGTGGGCAGATCACAAGGTCAGGAGTTCCGGACCATCCTGGTGAAACCCCGCCCCTACTAAAACTACAACAAATAGGCAGGGGTGATGGTGTGCACCCGTAGTCCCAGCTACTCGGGGGGCTGAGGCAGGGCTTGCACCCAGGAGGCGGAGGTTACAGTGAGCTGAGAGTGCGCCACTGCACTCCAGCCAGGGTGAAAGGATCGAGACTCCGTCCCAAAAAAACACAAAGGAGGAGCTCCAGGCTGCCTACCTCCTGCCTTGGGTTCCCCCTCAGGCCCACCAGGACCTGGGCTGTCCGGCTTGAAAGCTGCATGGCCTTGGACGAGCCTCAGGACCCCCCTGGACTTCCCAAATCCCTGCAGAAAGATGAGTCAGAATCTCCATGTGACCCCGAGCCACCGTCAGGGGCCCAGCACAGAGAAGCCACCGGGCCTCCCCACAAAAGCCAAGTGAGTCAGTGGGAACAAGTGAACTTCCCAGTCGTGTGATTGGCACGGCCTGGGTCACCCCAGGATGATGTCCGAGGAAGCTCCGCTCTCTCCTTCCGGGGCCCTGCTTGGGCACTGCCCTTTTCCCTCCCCAAACCTCAACCTGCCTCAGTGCCCCCAATCCAGGGTGCACCCCCAACCCCTCCAGCATGGCCCAAGTTCATCCCAGGCTTGTGAGGTTTCAGCACCTTGTCTCGGGGGAGGACTCATGAGACCAGATCTTGCCTGTGCCTGGGGCCCCCCAGCCTCAGTTTTCTCATTCATAAAATGGGGTCGGGTTGGGTACGGGGGCTCACACCTGTAATCCCAGCACTTTGGGAGGCTGAGGCGGGAGGATCACTTGAGGTCAGAAGTTGGAGACCAGCCTGGCCAACATAGTGAAACGCTGTTTCTACTAAAAATACAAAAATTAGCCAGGCGTGGTGGCACATGCCTGTAGTTCCAGCTATTTGGGAGGCTGAGGCAGGAGAATCACTTGACCCCGGGAGATGGAGGTTGCAGTGAGCTGAGATCGCACCAGTGCACTCCAACCTGGGACACACAGTGGGACTCTGTCTCAAAAATAAATAAATAAAATGGGATCAGGCTGGGAGTGGTGGCTCACGCCTGTAATCCCGACACTGGGAGGCCACGGCAGGAGGATCGCTTGAGGCCAGGAGTTCGAGACCAGCCTGGGTAATGTAGCAAGACCCTGTCTCTACAAAAAAAAAAAAAAAAAAGAAGAAGAAGAAGAAGAAAAAATTAGCCAGGCACAGTGGCACAAGCCAGCTACTCAGGACACTGAGGCGGGAGAATCGCTTGAGCCCAGGAGTTGAGACTGCAGTGAGCGGAGACCGCACCCCTGCACTCCAGCCTGGGCCACACAGCAAGACCCTGTCTCTAAAAACAAAAACCCAAATTTGACAGTCGTGTGTCTGCCCGCCAGACTGAATGAGTTCTGTGCTGTCTCTCTGCCTCTGCCTCCCTGAGTGTCTCTGTCTCGCTCTCACTCTTACTCTGCTGTCCAGGTTCTGAAAGCAGGTGGGGTGAGATGGAGGGAGTGGAGGGTGGGCCCTCGGAGGGCCCCAGGGGCCGGCAGGGCTGGGTGGGGTGGGGAGCGGGGATCGCCGCAGACCACGGTTCTGCAGAGGCCAAAATAGCACTAAAGGGAAGTGGGCACTTTTCATATGAACAAAGATTGCACAGAGTCGGCTTCGGGGAAGCTCTCGGGGCTGGGCTGCAGGAGGTACAGTGCCTGGGCCTCCCTCCCGGAAGGCCGCTCCAAGACCACCCTGCCCGTCCTCCCAGCGGTTGGGGACACAGGTGGGGGAGGGGCAGTCTGGCTTGAACCACTGGGCTCTTCTCTGGGGTCTGTTTTTTTTGTTGGTTTGTTTAGTTTTTAATCGTATTGAGTTTTTTTGGTTTTGTTTTTAAGAGATGGGGGGTCTCACTGTGTTGCCCAGGCGGGTCTCCAGCTCCTGACCTCAAGCGATCCTCCTACCTTGGCCTCCCAAAGTGCTGGGATAACAGGTGTGAGCCACCGCGCCCGGCTGGTCCTGTTGCTTTTTCCAAATAACTTTGGGCTTTAAATGAGGCTGCCTGGGAGGGAGAGAGGGGAGGGTGGGGCAGGGGCCTGAGCAGCCCTGGTCCCAGGGGCAGAGCTGAGGGCCAGGTAGGGGGCTGGGTGGCGGGGGGGAGGGGTCTCCACCTGACCTGGAGTGGCCCCAGGCCCTGGCCTGTAATCTCACCGTTTTCCCCTGACCTATGTAGGGGTAACAGTCCCATTTCGCGGATGAGGAAACCGAGGCTCCCGGGCCAGGCCAGCTGCTGCTTTGGCCCTCACCTGCCCTCAGTCTCCGACAGTGAGGGGACTGCCGTGGGATGTCCCAAGGCTGTGCAGGCTGGATAGGCGAAGGCAAGGGCAGGAGAGTGGCCGGAACCACAGAAACAAGCTGACCCCCGAAATGCCACAGGGTCTGGTGCCAGGGCAGGAGTGGGGGCCTCGGGAGGGGGTGCTAGGCATCCAGGCCTCCTCCCGCCCCACCCAGTGGGGCCAGGTGCTCCTGGGGGATGGGGGACAGCCTGAGGACCCAGGCACCCCTGGGAAAGGCTTACCTGAGAGTCCAGGGCTCCTCACCGCGGTCGCCCCATCCCGAACCCGCACATCTGCTCAAGCCGATGCCAACACCACTGACACTGGTGGGGGCACAGGGCGGGGTTTCTGCCAGCCACTGAATCATCCGCACATCCGCTGCTCTGCTGGACAGGCTCAGCTATGAACGGGGAGGGGGAAGGTGGGGGGAAGCGAGAGAGAGAGAGAGAGAGAGAGAGGGAGGGAGGGAGGGAGGGAGGGAGAGAGAGAGAGAAGAGGGGGAGAAAGAGGTAGGTGAGAGACAGAGAGAGAGGGAGAGAGAGAGAGAGAGAGAGAGAGAACAGAGAGAGAAGAGAAACAAAGTGAGGGAGAGAAAGAGAAGATAAGGTATTACAAGCCTGTAATCCCAGCACTGTGAGAGGCTGAGCGGGGTGCATCACCTGAGGTCAGGAGTTCAAGACCAGCCTGGCCAACATGGAGAAACCTCATCTCTACTAAAAATATAATATTAGCCGGGTGTGGTGGCAGGCACCTGTAATCCCAGCTACTCAGGAGGGAATTGGGAGGCTGAGGTTGCAGTGAGCTGGGATCACGCCACTGCATTCCAGCCTGGGTGACAAGAGTGAAACTCCCTCTCAAGAAAAAACAAAAACAAGAGACAGAGCAGAGACACACAAGAGGACAGGAAAATATGGACACACACCGACACACACATAAACTCAAAAAGTCACACAGAGAGGAGGAAAGATACACTCCAACAGATAGGAAGCAAGAGACTGACACTGAGGTGCTTCTGCAGATGACAGACATGGAGGCGGACACACACACTAGGCCGGGCATGGCGGCTCATGCCTGTGATCCCAGCACTTTGGGAGGCCACGGTAGGCGGATCACCTGAGGTTAGAAGTTCAAGACCAGCTTTACAAATGTGGTGAAACCCCTCTACTAAATATACAATGTGGTGAAACCCCTCTACTAAAAATACAAAAAGAATTAGCTGGGCGTGGTTTGGGTGAGCCTGTAGTCACAGCTACTCGGGAGGCTGAGGCAGGAGGAGGATCACTTGAGCCCAGGAAGTGGAGGTTGCAGTGAGCTGAGATCACGCCACTGCACTCCAGCCTGGACAACAGAGTGAGACTCCATCTCGAAAACAAAACAACAAACAATTTTAAAATAATAAGAATCAATTAATCCCTCGATGGCCTTGGGCAGCTGTTTAATGGTCAGTAGTGCAAGGCAGTCCAGCAACCTGCGGGATGTGGCTTTACTGACCTCAGGTGTCCGGGCGTCCTGGGCTCCGCCGGGGACCATCTCATTCGGTTCTGACGTCTGTGAAGAGCAGCCCAGGGCTGGACGCAGGGACGGCGCTGGGCAGGCGTGGGCTGTGGTCCCTCTGCCTGTGCTGTCAGCCTGTTCTCCACGCCCCTTGACACCAGGAGCCTCATCTGTGCAGTGGGGTGACGAGACCCCCAGGGCTGGGGAGGAGCAGGGCTGTCTTGCCTCCTCCCAGCCTTCAGCTTCCTCTCCGTCCACTCTTCCACCTGTCTTTGATCACTTGTCCCGTCTGCCCTGACCTTGTAGCCTCTGCAGGGGTCTCTCTGTCCCTGCCCCACCCACCTGTGTCCCAAGTCCTTTGCCTCTGTGTCTGTTTTGTCCTCTGGGATTCTTGCTGTCTGACGCTCTGTCTCTATTCTCTGCCTGCTTTTTTTTTTTTTTTTCTTTTTGAGATAGGGTCTCACTTGGTCCAGAGGTGAAGCTGGATTTGAACCCAGACCCCAAAGCCTGGCTCCTCTGCACAGAATGGGAACAAACCTGCCTCAGTTTCCCTCCAGCCCCAGACTGTGCACCTGGACAGGGGTTACCTGCTGTCCCTTTTCTTCTTGAGATGGGGTCTCACCCGGTCACTCAGGCTGGAGTGCAGTGGTGCGATCTCGGCTCACTGAAACCTCCACCTCCCAGGCTCAAAGGATACTCCCACCTCAGCCTCCTGAGTTAGCTGGAACCCCAGGCATGTACCACCACGCCCAGCTAATTTTTGTATTTTTTGTAGAGACAGGGTCTCACTATGTTGCCCAGGCTTGTCTTGAACTCCTGGCTTTAAGCTATCCTCCAGCCTCAGCCTTCTAAAGTGCTGGAGTTACAGGCGTGAGCCACTGCGCCTGGTCCCACTGAACCCACTGTGGATCCCACCTGCTAAAGACACCAGGGAAGAGCCTGACAGTCCCCCACCTCCTATAAGCCTGGCATTTCAGAACCTGGGACCCCAGCCCTGGACCCCTCTATGCCTGGGTCCCTGGCTCTGAGGTCCCACTCTTAGATTGGGGCTGGGTTTGGTCAGGCCAGGCCAGGAGAGATGGCCACGGAGATGGCGGAGGGGGGCTGGGCCCGCTGCTGCCACCTCGTGGACAAGGAGGGTAGCACATGCTCCAGGGGAATTCAGGACCACGTTTTCTTCCCGTGGTAAACCGGTAAGACAGAGGCTGGCAGGGGTGAAGCTCGATTTGAACCCAGACCTCAAAGCCTGGCTTTCTCGCTGGGACCCCCTGCCTGGCTCCTCCTCACACAACGGGAACAAGCCTGCCTCAGTTTCTGTCCAGTCTCAGACTATGCACCCGGACAGCGGTTACCTGCTTTCTTTTTTTTTAGATGGGGTCTTGCTTGGTTGCCCAGGCTGAAGTGCAGTGGGGGCGATCTCAGCTCACTGCAACCTCTGCCTCCCGGGTTCAAGCGATTCTCCTGCCTCAGCCTGAGTAGCTGGGATTACAGGTGCCCGCCACCATGCCCAGCTACTTTTTTGTGCTTTTAGTAGAGACCAGGTTTCACCATGTTGGCTGGGCTGGTCTCAAACTCCTGGACTCAAGTGGCCCACCTGCCTCGCCCTCCCAAAGTGCTGAGATTACACTGCTCCCAGTCGGTTCTGTTTCTTTTTGTTTGTTTGAGACAGGGTCTTGCTCTGGAGTGCAGTGGCAAGGTCATAGCTCACTGCAGCCTTGATCTGCGCTTAAGTGATCCTTCCATCTCTACCTCGCTTGTAGGTGGGACTACAGGTACACACCACCATGCCCGACTCATTTTAAAACTTTGCAGATGGGGTCTCACTATGTTGCCCAGGCTGATCTTGAACTCCTGGGCTCAAGTGATCCTCCTGCCTTAGCCTCCCAAAGTGCTGGGATTACAGGTGTGAGCCATCGTACCCACTCGACCTGCTCTGTTCTTGCTCCCTGCTTCCTCGGTGGGCCTGGGCACTGGTAGATGCTCGAGGGGAATGGTCTGTGATGGGGCCTCATATGTGGCTGGGTGCGGTAGCTCACACCTGTAATTCCAGCACTTTGGGAGACCGAGGTGGGTGGATTACCCGAGTCAGGAGTTTGAGACAAGCCTGAGCAGCATGGTGAAACCTCGTCTCTACTAAAAATACCAAAATTAGCCAGGCGTGGTGGCGCACGCTTGTAATCCCAGCTACTCGGGAGGCTGAGGCAGGAGAATCACTTGAACCCGAGAGGCAGAGGTTGCAGTGAACCAAGATCACGCCACTGCACTCCAGCCTGGGCAATGGGCAAAACTCCGTCTAAAAAAATAAAAGGGCCTCATGCAAAACGACCTTACAGACAGAGTGTGGTGTTTTGTTTTTGGAGATGGAGTCTCACTCTGTCACTCAGGCTGGAGTGCAGTGGTGTGATCGTGGCTCACTGAAGCCTCCACCTCCCGGGTTCCAGAGATTCTGTCTCAGGCTCCCTAGTACCTGGGATCACAGGCACCTGCCACCATGCCCAGCTAATATTTGTATTTTTAGTAGAGACGGGGTTTCATCATGTCAGCCAGGCTGGTCTTGAACTCCTGACGTCAAACAATCCACCTGCCTCAGTTTCCCAAACTGTTGGGATTACAGGCATGAGCCACCATGCCCAGCCAAGAAGTTTGGTCTTGCGCGGCTGGGAGAAGAGCTCCCTGCACTGTTGTCCTTCAGATCCAGGACTTGGTGTCACAGGGAAAGGGGAGGCGTGTTCCAGCAAGACAACGAGAGGCAGCTCTCCAGAACAGGCAAGAACCTGTATGCGTCACAGTCTATAATTTGGGCGATAACGTCAAGGCTCTGCCCCCCACCCCCAGGTGGCTCACACCTGTAATCCCAGCATTTTGGGAGGCTGAGCCAGGAGGATCAAGCCAAGCCTGGCCAACATGGCAAGACCGGTCTCTACAAAAATATTCTAAAAATTAGCCGGGGCCAGGCACAGTGGCTCACACCTGTAATCCCAGCACTTTGGGAAACTGAGGTGGGTGGATCACCTGAGGTCAGGAGTTCAAGTCCAGCCTGGCCAACAGGGTGAAATGCCATCTCTACTAAGAATAGAAAAATTCTCTTGGCATGGGTGGCAGCTGCCTGTACTCCCAGCTACTCAGGAGGCTGAAGCAGCAGAATTGCATGAACTCAGGAGGTGGAGGTTGCATTGAGCCGAGATCACGCCATTGCACTCCAGCCTGGGTGACAAGAGCAAGACTCCACCTTAAAGAAAAAAAAAAAAAATTTACCTGGGCAGGGTAGCGCACCAGGACGTATGACTGTGGCACTGCACTCCAGCCTGGGGTGACAGAGCGAGTCCATACCCAAGATGTTTTCTGGAGGAGATGAGAAGACAGTGTAGCAATCATGGGGACTCCCCCCATACCCAAAAAGAAGTTTCTTTTTTTTTTTTTCAGAGAGACGGGGTTTCACCATGGTCTTGAACTCCTGACCTCGTGATCCGCCCGCCTCAGCCTCCCGAAGTGCTGGGATTACAGGAGCGAGCCACGGCGCCGTTTCTTTCGTTCCCCCTGGGAAGGGATCTAAACTGTTGATCGGGAATCAGGCCTTTCCGAAGGCCACCAAGAACAGTGGGTTGCTGGTCAGTTTTCTCCTTGTCTGTCTCAGCTGAGATCAGATCACTGCACATTTTTTCCAGGTAACATAACCAGGTGCTGAACCCTGCAGGCTTCGCTCCCCCTCTTCCCTTTGGTTAACAGTTGTTTCTGGTCCTTATCGCTTCCCTTCCCTCCCTTCCTCTTTCCTTTCTCCTTTTTCTTTTCCCCCTGCTTTTTTTTTTTTTTTTTTTTTACGAGATGGGGTCTCACTGTGTTGTCCAGGCTGTAGCACACTGCTGTGATCTCAGCTCACTACAGCCTCAGGCTTCTGGGCTTGAGCAATTCTCCCACTTCAGTCTCCAAAGTAGCTGGAGGTACACCTACGTACCACCGTGCCCAGCTAATTATTATTATTTGCAGAGATAGGTGTCTCACTCCATTGCCCAGGCTGGTCTTGAACTTTCAGACTCAAGCTATCCTCACGACTCAGCCTCCCAAAGTGCTGGCATTACAGAGCTAACATACCTAGCCTTCCCTTTTTAAAATTTTCAAATTTATTACCCATATCCCTAAAGTTACCTAGGATATGCTTCCCTTTTTTGTTCTTGAGACGGAGTTTCACTGATTGCCCAGGTTGGAGTGCAATGGCGAGATCTCGACTCACTGCAACCTCCACCTCCTCAGTTCCAGCGATTCTCCTGCCTCAGCCTCCCAAGAACAAGTAGCTGGGATTACAGGCATGTACCACCACACCTGGCTATTTTGTATTTTTAGTAGAGACAGAGTTTCTCCATGTTGGTCAGGCTGGTCTTGAACTCCTGACCTCGTGATCTACCCGCCTGGGCCTCCCAAAGTGCTTGAGCCACCATACCTGGTCCTCCTTCCCTTTTGAGAGCAGAACTGCTCATGCTGCAGAAAACAAAAGCCCAGTGCTTGCAGCCCTTGGCAGAATTATTGGATAAATGAAAAACTTTTAGACAGTTGCTGAGAGAAAGCTTAACCACAAGGGCGGTGAGGCTGGAGGACACTGGTGGGGATGGTATTAGGTTAGGCACGACAGTAACTGTGGTTTTTACCATTACTTTCAATGCACGGCTGCGCCTGTAAATCCCAACTACTCGGGAGGCTGAGGCCTGAACCTGGGAGGTGGCTGCAGTGAGCTGAGATCATGTCACTGAGCTCCAGCCTGGGCAACGGAGTGACACCCTGTCTCCAAACAACAACAAAACCCACCACCACCAAACAGAAAAGCCTAGACGGTTCATTTCAGGTGCATCGATGCCAGTGCACTGAGGCGGGGCTTTTTCCCCAACTCCATCATTTTTGGTGTATTATTTTTTAAACTGTGACATAAGTAACATGCGGAGTGTGGAGAGGGAACCCTGTGCCCTATTGGTGGGGATATAAATTACCAACCCCACTATGGAAAACAGTTTGGAGGGTCCTCACAAAACTAAATGTTGAGCTTACCATGTGACCCAGCACTCCCACTGCTGGGTAGACACCCAGAGAAAGAAATTTGGCCTGGTGAGGTGGCTCGCATCTGTAATCACAGCACTTTGGGAGGCTGAGGCAGGAGAATCGCTGGAACCCATGAGGCGGAGGTTGCCGTAGTGGGAGGAAGCTTAGGCCAAGAGTTCCAGACCAGCCTGGGGCACGCAGTGACACCCCCATCTCTACAAAGAATTTTTAAAAATTAGTGGGGCATGGGCCAGGTGCGGCGGCTCACGCCTACAATTCCAGCACTTTGGGAGGCCTAGGCAGGAAGATCAACTGAGGTCAGGAGTTCGAGACTAGCCTGGCCAACATGGTGAAACCCCGTCTCGACTAAAAATATAAAAATTAGCTTGGCATAGTGGTGGGCACCTGTAATCCCAGCTACTCGGGAGGCTGAGGCACGAGAATCATTTGAACCCAGGAGGCGGAGGTTGTAGTGAGCCAAGATCGCACCACTGGACTCCAGACTGGGTGACAGAGCAAGACTCCATTTACAAAAAAAAAAGCAGCCTTTTGGCCGAAACTGCCGTCTTCCAGTCATTCACCAGAATGCCCGACACAAAGGGAAAGTGGAGGCACCCGATACATGTTCTCTAGGCCCATCAGAAAACACAAGTTGTTCCTTTGCCCATGTGTATGCCAATCTGTAAGAAAGATATTGCAGACATCAAGGGAATGGGCACTGTTCACAAAGGACGCCCCCCAAGTGACCAGGGCAAAACCCGAAGTCCACAGAGTCACCCAGCATGCCGCTGGCATTGTTGGAAACAAACAAGGGCAAGATTCCTGCCAAGAGAATTACTGTGTGGATTGAGCCTCTAAGAGCTGAGATCGCTTTCTTAAATGCAGGAAGGAAAATGATCAGAAAAAGAAGCCAAAGAGAAAGGTACATGGGTTCAAATGAAGCCCCAGCCTGCCCCAACCAGAGAATCGACCAATGGGAAGGGGCCTGAGCTGGTGGAACCTCTTCCCTATGAATTCATGGCATAATAGTTGTTAAAAAAATGAAAGACCCCCAGATGATTAAAAAAAAATTTAGCCGGTCGCGGCGGCGCGTGCCTGTAGTCCCGGCTACTTGGGAGGCTGAGGCGGGCGGATCTCTTGAGCCCGGGAGTTCTGGGCTGTTGTGCGCTATGCCGATCAGGTGTCCGCACTAAGTTCGGCATCAATATGGTGACGTCCCGGGAGCGGGGCCCACCAAGTTGCCTAAGGAGGGGTGAACCGGTCCAGGTCGGACATGGAGCAGGTCAAAACTCCCGTGCTGATCAGTAGTGGGATTGTGCCTGTGAATAGCCACTGCACTCCAGCCTGGGCAACATAGCGAGAGCTGAGATCATGTCACTGAGCTCCAGCCTGGGCAACGAGTGACAACCTGTCTCCAAACAACAACAAAACCCACCACCACCAAACAGAAAAGCCTAGACGGTTCATTTCAGGTGCATCAATGCCAGTGCACTGAGGTGGGGCTTTTTCCCCAACTCCATCATTTTTGGAGTTGGCCCATACCCCACTAATTAAAAAAAAAAAATTTAGTGCAGTATTAGTACCAGCTACTCAGGAGGCTGAGGTGGGAGGAGGCTGGGGAGGTTCAGGCTGCAGGGAGCTGATTGTGCCACTGCACCCATCTGGGTGGCAGAGGGAAATCCTGTCTCCAAAACACCAGACCTCTCTAGCACGTCCTCTTGGGTAGGAAGCAGCTGAAGCAGCAGTTACTCCAGGCACCCACCTCAACAGCACCTGGTCACCTTACTAAAGTGTAGCGGTGGGCCCGTCCCCACACCACTGGACAATGCTCCCATCTGCAGGCGGGCGAGCTCTGCCTTAGCAGGCCCTTACAAAGCCAGCCAGGTTTCTGAAGCATGCATTCATGCCCTACACCTTCCCTGCCAGCTCATCTGCAGAAGTCCGTTTAACACTACCCAGCAGCAAACTAAAGCAGCACCTCCCCAAAATCAGGATCCGCTTCTCAGGAGGCAGCAGCCCTCCCTGCCACGAGGGGCACCCAGAATTTCCTTTGCACACAAGCAGTACAAAAGTAGCCACATGGGCCGGGCGCGGTGGCTCACGCCTGTAATCCCAGCACTTTGGGAGGCCGAGGCGGGTGGATCATGAGGTCAAGAGATCAAGACCATCCTGGTCAACATGGTGAAACCCCATCTCTACTAAAAATATAAAAAATTAGCTGGGCATGGTGGCGCACGCCTGTAGTCCCAGCTACTCGGGAAGCTGAGGCAGGAGAATTGCCTGAACCCAGGAGGCAGAGGTGGCGGTCAGCCAAGATTGCGCCATTGCACTCCAGCCTGGTAACAAGGGCGAAACTCAGCCTCAAAAAAAAAAAAAGTAGCCACATGTTGTGTACATACTTGATTTCTGGCTGGGCGCGGTGGCTCACGCCTATAATCCTAGCATCTTGAGAGGCCAAGGTGGGTGGATCACCTGAGGTCAGGAGTTCAAGACCAGCCTGGCCATCATGGTGAAACCCCATCTTTAAAAAAAAAAAAAACAAAAAAAACCAAACTTGATTTCCTCCATCTTGAGGAAAAAAAAACATGTTCCTTTACCTAACAGCTAGACTTTCAAGATTTCCACCTGGCTGGGAAAATAACGCTTTTAGCAAGCGAGGAGAAAAAACTGGCATTCCATTTCCAATCATCACCAGCTTTTAAAACCTCACTCAAAAAAACAAAAACCTCGCTCATCCCGGAATTAAAATTATCGTTGACTCTTCCATTTCAATGGTGCTTCCCAATTTAAAATCGGTCCAATTCATGAGCAGCTGAAAAGAACTCAAAAATAAAGGCAGGCATTAAATATTCCGTAAGGTTTTCTTTTATTTAAAAGATCATTCACAAAATACCATATCCATAGATTCACTTTCTGTCACAGCTGAATGTGTTAAGTGTTGGGAATTCCATTCTTACACTGCAGAGTCAACTGGACTGCCCGGAGGTTTAGATGCATGTGTTTGTTCTTTGTCTTATCCACACTGAAGGTGTAAGTAGGTCATCTGAAAGCATCGGGTTTGATTACACCACATAACGCATGTCTTTCTGAAGGTAAGTATTGGCGTTACACAAATGGTTCTTATCTTGGAAGCAGAGAAGCCGACAGGTGGAGGGAAGGAGGGAGTTCTGCGGATTGCTGAGGCCTCGTCACAAAGACACACTAGGAGAAGCCAAGGATGGCAGCTGGTGACTAACTACTAAGCACATGACGCTGGGCGCCCAGGCCACCCTGGCACTGCCAGCACCCAGTGAGGGTCTCTTCCCTAGGCGCCTGCTGCCAGCCGCCCCCGAACTGCTCCCCACAGGACAGACTGGGACTTGGATACTGAAGGATTTTTCATCTGTTCACACGCAGGTGTTAACCTCAAAAGCCTACGCCCCAGCACTAACCCCCAGGTAAGTGCTAAATCCTGCACAAGGGAACAACCCAGCGTGTCCCAGACCTAGACAGCTGCAGTCCTCTCCGGCGAGCTGAAGGCTCCTGACAGCTCTGCACAGCACATTTCATTTCAACAAAGGAGATGGGTAAAGTGCCAGATTCTAGACCCATTTTGGCTCTGAAATGAAGGGGAGGTGGGAAGCACAGTCTCCTCCTGTCGCCTCTACCAGGAACAGACCCACACAAACACGCAGCCAACAGGGATGGGGGGAGACGCCGTGCCAGCACCACCCTCCATCCCAAAGTGCCTCGCCCCGCAGAAAAAGAAACCAGCTGGCTGTTCGCTGCACCTGGCCAGAGGGGAGCCGCGCCCACACCTGGTGAGGAGTTTACTAGCTGGGACTCGGCCTCAAAAGAGTGGCCACAAACACATGTGAACGCCTGCGAGCATTCACTGTCTCTTCTCCGTGGACTCCCTACCACTATTCCAGGCCCCCACTCTCAGTTCTCACTGTTTCTCTCGTGAGCCTATCTGCTTGGACAGTCCACTGGGGGGCGGTCACAGAGCCAGGACTCCCTTCTCAACAGGAATGGAAAGGACCCTGCGGAGTTTTATCCTGGTGTGAAAACAAGGTGCCTGCGACTCTGTCCACCACAGCTGAATACCAACAAGGAGCAGCTCCATCTGTCAGTGACTTCCGGTTTTTGTTGGAAGCCCAGCAATACAGAACTCCACATGCAGGTCAGAAGAGAAGCACTGAAGAGGAAGGAGACGCCTGCAGTGGGCCAGGGGCCAAAGTAAAAGAGAAAGTAAAGGAGAAAAATGACGCAGCACTGCAGCCCAAACGACTCCCCCGGCGGCCCCTCCGCTCCTCCGAGGAACCCCATGTGCTGCTGGGAAAACAAGGAGCAGGAGGAGAAGGACAGAAGGGAAATGGGGAAGCAGCAGAAGAAAGAAAAAACTGCACGGACAGGCACTAGAGATACAGCGAAGCCCAGAATGTACTAAAAACCACTTGTTAACAGCTGACATGCACTCACAAGCTGTTTCCGCTGTGAGGAGGCCAATGGCAGGCGCGGAGCGGTGGCTGCAGGACGGCCGCCCGGGGACTCACCAGGCCGTGGTCCTGCTCTCACCCCCCACGCCCCATTCCCTCCCGACCACAGGCTCATTCTTGCTCCTTCTGAACGACCTCCTCTCTGGGCCTGGCACCCCCGAAGATGGCAGAGTTGGGATTGGCTACTTGATTGAGGGGCGTTGCGACTGTCCGAGGTTTAAGCTGCAGTCGTGGTCTCTGTGCTCTTTCCTCTGGGGGAGAAAAAGCAGTTTGTCAGAGAGGATCCCATTCCACATCTGGGCCAAACGACCGCGCTGATGCTGTCAGCAACCCCACCCACGTTCTAGACTTCTCCTGGCCTGCCACCCCCTCAGCAGATGCGCTAATGACCGAGATGAACCCGCTGCTACGGAGAACGTGACGATCTATGCTGACAACTGTGTGCCGTGGGAATGCAAGTCCCCGTGGGGTGTGAACTGGCCACGACCATCCCGTCAGGAAAAGACGCCCTCCACCAACACTCGAGCCCGTACCTTCTGTCGGTTCTCTGAAATCCATGTTGGATCCTCGGAGGGGAGGGCCATCTCTGAAGCGGCTGCCCATTGGGGGGCCTGTTCGCCGGTCACCTGGGCGACTACCTCCCCTGCCCCCTAGGAAGTCATCCCTGAAGCCTGAGGAAGGAGGAGGACACTGAATTACTCTTCCAGTGATCATCTCCAAGCTGCTGATCAAATAATGTTCTGGGAGTTGTTAGAGTTTAATCTAAATTCTTTAGCGTGTCCAGTATCTGGAGTCTCTCCAAAATACAGTGCATTAAAAATGGGTCCGAAGGGCAACGTGTGGAGTAATGGCAGCACTAACAGATTTTCCAAAGAAGAAGGAATTAGCATCTTAGGAGAGAAAACAAATCAAGCAAATCAAGAAAAGCCTCAGAGCAGGCTGAGTTCTATTTTCCAATGTAATCTATACAGCTAGTTTAAAAGACAAACCTGAAATTTACAACTATTTACAACTTAGAACACAAAATCACAAGAAAAAGACAAAAAGATGCTACAATTCTCACTGGTGGGTAGAAGGAAAGAGTATTTTCTCCGTGGTCTCAAGGGGCCTTTACTGGATTAAGTGAAAGCTAGACAGTAACCGTGTAACCTACTGAGGTTAAAATCTGGTAAAAAGAGTAGTTTGCGACTTATAACCCAGCACTTTGGGATGCTGAGGTGGGAGGTTCACTTGAGCCCAGGAGTTCAAGACCAGACTGGGCAACACAGGGAGACTCAGTCTCTACGAAAAATGTAAGTTAGCTGGGCATGGTGGTGGTGCATGCCTGGGGGTTCCAGCTACTCAGAAGGCTGAGGCAGGAGAATCGTTTGAACCCAGAAGGTGGAGGGTGCAGTGAGCTGAGATCACGCCATTACACCCCAGCCTGGGTGACGAAGTGAGACTGTCTCAGGGAAAAAAAAAACATTGGCAAAAAGAAGTTAAACCATATTCAAACAAATGAGCAGCCAGGCGCGGTGGCTCGGGCCTGTAATCCCAGCACTTTGGGAGGCGGCAGGTGGATCATGAGGTCAGGAGATTGAGACCATACTGGCCAACATAATGAAACTTCGTCTTTACTAAAAATACAAAAATTGACTGGGTGTGGTGGGGGCACCTGTAATCCCAGCTACTCAGGAGGCCAAGGCACAAGAATCGTTTGAACCCAGGAGACGGAGGCTGCAGTGATCCAAAATCATGCCACTGCACTCTAGCCTGGCGACAGAGCGAGACTCCATCTCAACACCAACAACAACAGAGCCTGCTGCCGCTGGCTGCGCACTCAGGGGTGGCCACTGCTACTCTCTGCGAGGGTAGTGCCATGGCTCTGAGCTTTCAGGGAGGTCGTCTTTGAGAAGAACCTCTGAGCCTGCAGTATGCACTGTACCGTCATCCTCATTACCCACAGACCCCTATCTGCAAATCCATCCAGTCGCTAAAGTTCATGTATCGGCCCCAAGCTGCACACCAGCAGTTTCTGCAGTCAGGCCTGCACCTGCGCAGATGTGACGATCCCGGCTGAGGCTGAAAAAGACAAGGCTCTGCCTGTTTCCCTTCCTAACTGTCAAGTCTTCTCATGATGAGTGTCGTGTGTTTTGCCCTTCTGGGTTTTGCTGGTGGCATCGCTGTCTAAAGTGGCCCCAGGTGCGGTGGGAAGTGCTTCTGCTGCTGCTAAGTGCAGGCTGGCTGTGAGGTGCCTTACAGGCAAACCCGGCATGGGACGAGCTTTCAAACAGGCTGAAATGATGGCAGCACAGGCTACTACAGCTGGCCCTGAGTTCAATGTGAACGCATTAAGTGAACTGACCGAGGCGTATTTAGAACGAAGGTCACATAAAGCAATGTTAGGTGCGATCAGCTGACGAAATGCTATGGTGAGGCTCACAGGAGCAGCTCCACACTGGCTCATTCAGTGCTCCAGCCCCTCCATAGAGCCACCGCAGATGACCAGCGCCGACCGGGTAACTCGTGGGGAGGGCCAATTCCTATTATTTAAAGGTGGCAAGCGTTTTGGAAACCAGTCAAGTGATCTCGCAGCCGGTTCAGAGACTGAGTTAAATCACATCAATTTCAACAAAACAAGTAATGAAAACAAGTCTCAATCCATTGAGACCAACAGGAGCACTGCTGTAGGGGAATATACTGGGAGGCATATAGTCAAGTAGAAGGTCTTTACAAAGTCTTCTGGCCACCACATTACACAGTTCATTGAACAAGCCTAATCAGTACTCAAACACTGAACCTGACGTTCCCCCAAACTCAACTGTGAAGTGTACCTTTCCTTCCATGTGAGTACAAAGTAAACGGGCGCCTTCTATACAAGATGAAGTCATTTCCACCACCAAGGTCTAGCATGAGACATATGTGCTCACACCCACACTGGTGAAGCAGGGAAACACGACTGCTACTTGGGTGCCCAGGTGCCCGACGGAGCTCAGCAGAGAAAACGATCAGTGTGCACTAACACCAAGTGAGAGCCTTATTTCAAAACCTCCTAGGAAATAAGCAGTGGGGAAATTAGGAGTGAAAAGCGAGGTCTGGCATGAACAAGACTCTCTCATCAAATCTGTTGGTGGGTTCTGGGAAGCAAACTCTTCGTGAGAATCTTCAGAGTGTTCTTTTAACAGTTAGGGTAACACTGGCTATTTCTGACGGGGAGGCTTTTGCTTTCTTTGTGCTTTTCTGTTGCTCTACT